AGACGGTATGGTATTTTTGTAGATGCTCAGAAGCAGTCTAAAACTGGCTGAAACATGCTACTGATGGCTAGATCCAACCAGATCTCGCTCACCAAATATTCTTGCGACTACATTTATGAACTTGTGCACTTGCACTGAGCCTGGTAGGCTAATATATTTTGTTTTAAAAGTGCTAGGTACATGCACAGAGAAGGAACAGTTGTGGAGCGTTACAATGAACGGGCAAGGTGTGATGAAATTGTCACTCCGCCTGATCTCAGACACGGCAGGCAACGAGGGGCTCTCGACAGCAAGTCGCAACGATCCTACGCTCAGCAGTGCCACTGGAGGCTGTCAGTAATGCGCATGGGAAACCGGGGAGGACCTGGCAGGCCCCAGGTCCCCCGTATACATGTTCTCGCGTGTGCCTACGTGACTTAAGGTCGACCTTGGAAAGACGGCTCGGCTTCTCGGCAGCAGCACGACTCGACGGCATCTGGTGTGACACTAGTGTGACGAAATTAATAAACGAGGGAGCAGGTCCCATTTTGCGCACCGGAATCGATCCGCAGCTCTTGCAAGACCTCAATAAAATACAACAAAAATGCGAATACATAGTCAAGGTGTGCGCACATCGATTTATGCAAAACCGCTCACGAAGAGGGGTTGTGGTAAGCTACAAGAAGCAGATTTGCTCAATTTTTATAAACCAGGGTGCCATCATAGTATCACTGGAAACACGTGACAGCAAACCAGCTAAGGATGTTTCGCAGTGTGAGACTTTCGACCTGAAATAACACCAGGGTCGCTCGACATCAAACCATCATCACTGAAACGCGGTTTTTCTGCCTGCTTAGACGAGGGTAGCTCGAAATGGCTTATAAATTCGACATTTGACAGTAGTATCCGCGCCAACATGATACAGATCCCACGTCGTTTGCCCGAGCTGACGTCCTGCTATGTACACAATACTTAAGGCTCACGGTGTCAAGCCTGAGATGCAACAGAGATCACCATGGACGTGCCTCAGCTTCCCCCACCAGACGGCTCTCTGCCGACTCTCCCTCAAATCGCCGACTTCCATGCTACGCACCACCCGAACAGCCCATGGTTCCTCTTTCCATCCAAAGACTCTCCACAGGAGCTCGTGTCCGTCACCTATCACGAGATGGTACAGGCCAGCCACCGTGTTGCGCACATCATGCGACCCAACAGGGAGGGACCGGATGGAGAGGTCATTGCCCTGCTTCTCCATACCGACACGCTCCTTTATGTTACTGTCGTTCATGGTCTCTTCCGGGCCGGTTTCGTGGTACGTACATGATCAGACTCCCCGAGGAACATGATACTGATCAGAATTTATTTACAGCCATACCCAATGTCTCCTCGTAACTCGCCGCAGGGGCTGGTTCACATGCTCGAGACTGTGTCGTGTACCCGTATCCTTGGTCAAGCTTCGACTTGTGGATTGGTACATCAGGTTGAGAGGGAGATGCAAGCCAAGGGCATCCAGCTTCGCATCGACGATATGCCGGGGTTACCGGAGATGTTCCCCCAGCTGGCTGGGAAGGCCAGTTCAACCTCCGCGGAGGTAGAGCCTTACCCTGCTTCGGACAAGCCTGTTGAGCCGCGCGCTCCGTCACTTTACTTCCAAACCTCTGGCTCGACTGGCTCTCCGAAGTCGATACATTTTACCTACCGTCGAATGGCCCAGTGGTTAGGCTCAAGTAAGTTCGTTCGGCACCTATGGTATATATCAGCCTGTAGCATTGACCGTGGCTTTGCAGATGTTTTCGGTAGTAGCCGCGACGTGCGCTTTGGCGCAATGGGTCCGCCAACGTTCCATCCTATGGGTCTACTCTTGCAGGCGACCTACCCACTCGTTACGGGCCGCGAAGTCGTGATCTACACCCCACAGCACCCTGCACCGCCGGTTGTCCCCCATCCGCAGAATGTTTACGAAGTCGCGAAGCTCGCAAAATGTACAGCGCTGCTTGCAGTGCCTTCTTTCGTTGAGGTGCGTCCTCTTTCTACCGGGCTCTGGCAGAGACTAATTTGGCTTCCAAAGGCGTGGTCGCTCTCTTTGGATACAGAGATCATCGAGTACTTGAAGACACTTACTGTGCTGGTCAGTCACACCTTGTGTCGCCGGATGACCTTCCGCTGACATTCAGCAGCTCTACGGTGGTGGCCCGCTTGCCCTCTCGACTGGAGACAAACTAGTCCGGGCAGGCGTACCGCTGCGGAATGGGTATGGTTGCACCGAAATCGGAAACCCTATGGTGTCATGGGATAAATTACCGCGTACGAGTACCAAGACCGATCCTGACTGGGTGTGGTTCCGCGTCCCAGTGGATGCGCCCCACATTAAGTTGGAATCCCAGGGCGACGGGACGTATGAGCTAGTCATCTACGTGAGCTGACGCTTTCTTTGCTGCAGGTGCACAGTGCTGACTCTCTGTCGCAGGAAATCGAGGGTTATGATATCGCCATGTACAATGTGCCTGGAGAAAAGGCATATGCGACTTCTGACCTGTTTGAGCCACATCCGACGAAGCCTGATCTCTGGAAGATGTGCGTAGCTCCTTATCTCCGCAACACAATTTATTTATTTGTATTTTAGCGTTGGCCGCAAGGACGATGTCATTACTTTGAGCACTGGTGGGTTTCTGTATAGCTAGCATAGCTTCCATTGTGTCACTTCCATCTGATAGGCGAGAAGATCGTTCCGATCCCACAAGAGGCTTATATCGCATCAATCCCACTCATCGACGGCTGCATGATGTTTGGCCGCGAGCGCGAACAGCCAGGCATCCTCATCGAGCCCCGTCCCGAGCACGCCATTGAGCAACATAACGAGGCTGCGCTCGTCGCATTCCGCAACAAGATCTGGCCACAGATCAAGGAGGCCAACGAGCTGGCCCCCGCGTTTGCGAGAATCTACAAAGAGATGATAATCGTCACCGACCCAGACAAGCCGCTCTCGCGATCAGGCAAGGGCACTCCCATCCGCAAGCAGGTTTTGGTAGCCTATTCCGAGGAGATCGAGAAGCTGTAGATAATCTGCTTTTTTCCTCGCGACAACCGCGCTGACTGACGCTTTAGGTATGAGACGATCTCCGCGAGCACAAACAACTACGGCATTGCGCCGCCAATGTCATGGGAAGCGACAGATTCAGAACCTTGGCTGGTCTACCAAGCCACGAGTCTTGTTCTGCAAGGACAATCCATATCTCCTGTATTTGATCTCTTTCAACAAGGCTTCGACAGGTAAGCAACAAGTGCGGATATTTCCTCCCTGCTACTTACGCCCACCTCATAGCCTAAGCGCAACCTTCTTCCGCAACCGCATCATCGGCGCCCTGCGCGCCTCCGAGAGCTCTAGTGTTCGCCAGGCCGCGCAACGCATCTCCTCGAACTTCGTCTTCGAGCACCCGACTATCGAACAGTTGGCCGCCACGTTGAGGTCGCTCGTTGACCCATCTGGTGGCGCAGACGCCGCAACACTGCATGCACGCACGCGTGTGGACGAGATCCGGGCTATGATCGAAAAGTACTCGGACGACCTGCCTACAGCGCGGGCGCAGGCATTTGGTCGCGGCGCGGCACCCATCGTGCTTCTCACGGGGTCGACAGGCAACATTGGCTCTCACATCCTCGCGTACCTCCTCGCGGAACCGCGCGTCGCTCGTGTATACACGCTCAATCGACCATCGGCGGACCCTCGCGGACGGCTGAAGGCTGCGCTCAGCGAGCGTGATCTGCCGGTGAAGGAGCTCGACGGCCCGCGGCTTGTCTTACTCGCAGGGGACGTCACGCGCGACAACTTTGGGTTGGATGACGCACAGTACCGGGAGGTATGATTCCCACCTAATCTTCTCCTAGCGCGCCAGGGTGCTTATCGCCATCGTACCACTACAGGTCATTGCGTCCGTGACTCACATCATCCATAGCGCCTGGACGGTCAACTTCAACCTGGCGTTGCAGTCGTTCGAGGATCAGGTCGCGGGTGTGCGCAAGCTAGTGGACATCTCTGCCGGCACAGATCGCCCTGTGCGGCTGCTGGTGACGTCCTCCATCGGCATCGCAAACGCATGGGACCCTGCGAAGGGCCCCGTTCCCGAGCGGCCTCTTCCCGACCCCGAAATTGCCGCCAGCATCGGGTACACCGCATCGAAGTATGTGGTCGAGCATGTAAGTGCGTGTCACCTCTGCTCCAGCGTCTGTTCTGAATGCTGCGATGTCAGATCTTGAGCGCCGCGCGGGAAAGGGGCATCCCTGCCACCGCCATGCGCATGGGCCAGGCCTGCGGCCCAAGGGAGACGGGCGCATGGGGAACGACGGAGTGGATGCCGATCATGACGAAGTCGAGCGTTACGCTGGGCTGTCTCCCTGCCATGAGTGGTGTAAGTACATCTACCTTGTACCGTCAGCGTTTATTGAGTATAATATATGTAGCCCGTTGCGTGGATCCCTCTCGACGCCGTGGGCCAGGCGTACGTCGACTGGGTCCTGGAGGAGGACGTGCTCCCTGCGCTCGTGAATGTCGTCCACCCACGCCCGACGAATTGGGACGTCGTCCTCCGCGGTCTGCGCCAAGAGCTCGGCGGCAACCTTCCCATCGTCCCTGTGCAAGAGTGGGTGTCCAAGCTGGAAGAGCATGCAATGAATCCGACGGCCGAGGACCTCGCCCAGATTGTAAGCTTGGTTTCCCCGCCAATGTGACCGGAGCCCTCACGTATTCGGTCAGCCCGCACTCAAGATCGTGGACTTCTTCCGCTCCCTCGCTCGCCCAGCGCAGGATGACGCAGGCACCAGTGTTGGCGGTGCAGAGAGCATTGTCGACCTCGCGTACGAGACCTCAGAGCTTGTGCGCTATAGTCCAGCGATGCGTGGCATTCAGCCCATGTCGGAGGAATATGCTCGCTCGTGGGTGCGCTACTGGAGGGCGAAGGGATTTGTAGCATAATCCAGGGGGAAGGTAGAGTGGCACGCGACGGTTAACGGTCAGCATCAATGATCTTGGCGCAAGGTTTAGAGCAAGTCTCGGCGCACAATTTATGGTCGGCTGAGTGTGGGAAATACTTGTGCCAATAAGTCTATGATTCTATGGGCCAACTTTGTGGCTCTTTGTGGTCGGAGGTAAGACATCGTATTAACTGTGGAAGCGTAGAGAATTACCTCATCATACGATTGAGACAACTATTAAAATGACAACTTTTCTGCCCGTAAGCACATCCTAGAATAAATTCGCTCGATGAGCCAAACGGTGTGTCTCTGACAGAAATATCCTTTATCGTCGTAATCTGAGTCTTCTATAGGTCTCAGGACAACTGTATCACGCACGGCTTGCAGGGATGATGCCAGCTTCCGGCTGTAGTTGGTGCTTCCGCTCAACAACAAAATGCCGTTTAGATTCATTTATGGCATGTTGCGATTTTTCGACACCCTACTTTGTCATGTCGTTGGTAGAGGAGACTTGTCGTATCGGTCAGCCCATCGGACGAAAACCGGCCGTCTGTGCTGGTTACGCGAAGGCGCTCAGAGCATTAACGGATGCTCTCTCTACTACTACCATACATGCGCGGACGGCTCACGGGCAGGTGTATCTAATCTGGGCCTAGCCGACAGTTATCAGTCGCCATTGGTGTCAGCTGAGTTCCGTCTCATTCTCGCCAGAATATCAGCTGAGCTTCCGTGGGTGACAAATTCGTGTGCAGCTTACTTTCGCAGACGCAGCCGACGTCGAGAACCTTTCAGCTCTTCCGACCATGTGCCCTCAACACCGGCAATCGCAGATTACACCCACGCTGGATCCTGCAGGCGAACCATCTGACTGTACACCTCTCCTCTTCTCTACGCCATATAGCACCGTTCAGTCGTCGTGGGCTACCATCTAACCACCGGGTACGTCGCTGTACACTGTCGCAAATATCTTCATAGCCATTTCCTCGACATGAGTTCTCCTGCCCTAACGCTGCCCACGGAAACAATCTATGATATCGTCTTGATCGTCGTTGTCCAGTATATAGATGATCTAGTCCTTGGACCTCTGTCCTTATGCGCGAGGTCAGAGGCGGATAAAGCCAAAGAGGCAAGTTCATCTCCTCAATCGGCGTGTTCAGCTTCGTTGATTATCAGTCTTAGGATCCGGGGCTGACGAGCGAGAACCCAGTCTTACCCTTCCTGGTCGTATCATTACAGTTCCGCCAAGTTACACTGGAGGTACTGTCCAGAACTCTCGGTATTTCGTTGCGTAAGGAGGGTATTTGGCGGTACGTGAACTGAACTGCGTCGAGTCTAAATGAGACCGCGGATGATAATTAACGTCAGACTCGAGAGCAAGCCGTGGGCAACAATCTACCCTGTGCGCAAGCTCTGCGCATCCTCAGAAGATTTCTATGTCTCCACACTATCCGAGACGACCGTTCTTGACTATTGTAGCCAATCAGACGTGCTGGCGGTGTACGTTTTGCAGCTCATGATACACAAGGCTGTGGACAACCTGGAGCGCGGCAGCAGTATGCCGGCTCACCTATTAGAACAACAGCACCTGGGCCAGCTGCCGGATGTTAATGACTTTCAGGCAGTCATAAGAAAAGCACATACCCACTATATGCTCTGCCCCAGGGTGTTCCAGTTACTCATGCACCGGTCGCTGCAAGCGTGCAGGACTCGGGCTCTCATTGGTTAGTCTCTGCTTTCTGTTAGGTGTAAGTTTTTCGGCTGATAATTCGAACCATTCTAACATACCAGCACTGAATTATAATTTATCGTTGGAAGCTTTGAGACTACAGTTCTTCAAGTACTCAATGGAACTTTTACGTGGAACTGTTTCCCAGGTGAGCTCGCAAAATGTTATTGTATACGGGGCTGTTACCCACAATAATTGAGCAGGCTACACTGTCTGCTATAGTATATCTTAACCGTGGCATCAGACGTAACGATGAAGCCGTACTCGCCAGATGGAATTTCACTGTGCCTTTTGGCCAAGCCGTTGGAGCTTCACGGGTACGCGTGATTTGCTAGAATTAGAGCTTATGCCTAAATACCTTTACCTTAGCTGATAAGCTGGTACATGCTCCTGAGTGTTATTCGCGGTATGCATAGTAGCAACGGCAGGCCGACAGAGATTGCAGAAGAAGCGGGGCAGCTTTGTGACATATTTTTAGGGCGGCTCAGGGAGATGGGCATCTCCTCCGCCCTGTAGCTTTGGAGGCGCAACAGCCATTACCGTAGCTCTCATTCGAAGACTCGTAATATTCATGCTGTTTAACTTGTGTTTGTTTCGAATGACTTGCATTTGCAATGCAATTTAGATTCTACACGCCTCGAAACGTCACCGAGGGGGACGGGAGCGTGAGTCGGTCAACGCAATAGATCAACGTGTGGAGACTAGAGTCACTGGACGTCTGTGCGGATCGCGAGAGGGTTTTCGGACTGTGGCAGCATGCTCTCAGGGTTTGATGTTCAAGTTATACGCGCATGGATGGCTCATGAGCAGCAGTATGGGCTCGTTCGCCAGTCTATCTCAGTGTAACCAGTGTCACACAAGCTCTGTCCTTTTTCATTGCTGGGATTCCGTAGGTAGCGACGTATGACTGTCGTACTTTGAGTCCGCTAAGAGCCTTCAGGTGCCAGTAAGATCGGCAACTGCCGGCTCGATGACCCCGCCCGATTGTAAGCTTGGTTTTCCCGTCAACATGATTGGAGTCCTCACACTGTGTTTGACTAGCCGGCGCTCAAGGTCATGGACTTCTCCGTTTCCTCGCCCGCCCAGCGCATGGTGAGGTACGGAGGTGCTGCCGACCCCGCGTATGACACCTCAGAACTTGTGCACTGTAGCCTGGCGATGAGTGACATTCAGCCCATGTCGGAGGTATACGTCCGGCTCTCAGGCTGGATGTGCTACTAGAGGGCGAAGGGATTTGTGGCATAAGCCAGGAGGAAGGTAGAGTGACACGACGATTAGCGGCTAGGCTAACGTATGGTCGGTCAAGTGTGGGAAGTGCTCGTCTATGGCCAACTTTATGGCTCTTTGTGGTCGGAGATAAGATGTCGTGCTAACCGTGGGAGTACCAGAGAAAGCGTTCATTAATGCTCTGAGTATCTTCGCGTAACCGGCATAGCTTTGTCCGATCGTTTAACGAGATGCCCAATCCGGCAAGTTTCTTCTACACAGGGCCCCGGGAGATTGCGTGTACCAGGTTTCCAGAGGATTTCCCCCGGATCAATGTCCAGATAGCTGAGGTCTAAAATCCATTCGATTGTTGTCTCACGATAGCCGTATTTTGACCAGACAACAATCTCACGATCCAGATCTTAGGCTGGGTCATCAAGCGCCCACAACCCAAGTGTAACCTCGCACAGTAGCTTCGGACAGGACGAGCAGAAGCTTTCCGTTTCAAATTTCACCAATGTAGATGTAGCATTTGCATATATATCAAATAAAGTTACTGCGGGGTATTCATCTGCTCAGCATTACGCGAATAGGAGGCATGCACCTGCGGGAAAGGGTCATCGGGATCATTAGTACCGTCTCGCTGCTCTGTATTATCATTGTTGTCGTCCGCGTCGTCGTCGGAGGTGATAGAATGACCAGTAAAACCTTGGCCATACTTGGCTTCATCTGCTACAACGACTGCCTCCTGCCATCTATTGTCCAAGCCCATGATGTCAGCGGCTGAGGATGTACCACGAGCAGGTGAAAGAACGCACTCCAGCCACTTCTCGCTTTCATGGTTAGGACCCAGCTTCTTCTTGCTATGAAGCGACTTCATCTCTTTTCGCATTACCTTCCAGAAGCCGCTGTCAGCCCCAGTCGGACGTTTTTCAGCCACGATAGGCTCAGCAATACTACGCTGTAGAAGGACTGTTCAGCTTGCTGATGTATAGAGACCGAGATACACACCGCAAACGCCAAATGTGCCATAATTAAGCGCCGCGTGCTGGCTCGTGGTTCAGGCCCGTAGTTCCAATGTGCAATGACATCAGTTATCCAGCAATCAAGCGACTGTTGCTTCTCCACGGCATGCCATACCTATGGTACACGCAGATGAGTAACCAACCATCAATAAACAAAACCGTCTCACCAGTTTCTTGAAGTTTCCACGTGCCGGGAGCTCCTTCTTCTCGATAACCTTGAGGATCTTCGTCTCGGCAATGGGATCACCAATCACGTCTTCCAAGTGGAACTTGACAGCGTTTTCTCGCTTTTTGATATACGCCTTTGCAGGATATGTCCAGATGTAACACAAATCAAGAGTGGACAAGGTTGACGCACCATAACTCGTGCAACTGTGACCGGACCATAGTCCTCGGCAGGCCGGATCAAGAAGTGACGCAATGTAGCATTGATGAGGCTCTACGAATGGTCAGAAGGTAGTCCGTAATTCAAAGGGCAGATACCCACGTCCTGCGTAGCATCCAGCTTCCAGTCCTCACGACAATACTGGAGGATCTTCTCTAATGTCTGATTTTGCTCTACCACCTTATTTGCCAAAGCGTCGACTTCTTCGCGCGTAGCCATAGAGTGCGCCAAAGCTGCAATGACTTGTTTGTCCATGGAACTCTATGAGAGAAATGTAAAGACAATTATCAAACAGCCAATACATGACTCGAATGGGGCGAACTCACGTTGGCAACTTCATGGAGAAGCTGGCGCTTTGCAGAACTGCCAATCTTTACTTGACTAATAAGTTGGTCAACGAAGTACGTCCGTGCAGGGTCAATCCCAGATGGGGACGTATAGTGTGCTTGAGGTACGAAGCTGTTTGGAGGGTGGGTATGCGATACATTGAACGGTGACAAAGTGTGATGTAAGGACTCTTGAGAAAAAGACAATCCGTTAGACGAAAAGCTTGTGTCACCCAGAAGTGTGGGCTGCCGTGCATTCATCTGCGGTGTTGGCGGCGGGTGAGCTACAGGTGCAGAGTAACGAGCCTCATCAGCTGTGCTTTGGTGCAATCCACCTTGAGCAACAGGACTGTCAGGTCCATGGTGTGGGTATGGTGAGTGAACATGGCGAGTTCTGCCACTGCGTTCAGCTCCAGTGCTGCTCGGAAACGACATGTCGATAGGACAGACTGAGCAATGTCGGTGGGCAGATTATCAACGCAAGGCAGGCAGAGCTGATCACGTGGGCTCACCGATCACCGACGCAAACATTTGCCAATGCCCCAACAGTCTTTCCAACTGCCCACATGGAAGTAAACACGACCCTCAGCAGCGATCCAGTCTATCACTTCTTTGGTCTGGTAGAAAGCGATGACTATCAGCCTTCAAAAGATGTCAAAACTCAAGTAGCAGGCTCACCATCGCTGTTCCAACATGCTACTCAGGAGGTGAATCACAAGGGCGCTGAGTATGTGAACTCTCATGGGATAATCTGCTCTTAACATCAATTGCTGTGTAGGCTTTTCATAGCAGGCAGAGCTGTTGACTCACAGTTTGTCCGAAGTCTTGAGGGCTTCCCTCACACACCTACAAAGACGACGTCAAAGCGTGTGAAGATAGAAGACACCAATGACTTTACTCCGAGCTCCAAGGCTGCACGTTTGAACTATGCTGGAGATCGCTGTTCAGGTTCAGTTGTCGTCAAGCAAGACGAGACAGTATGCATCACAGGTACGTAGCAGAACGATGATTGCATGTATGCAGCTGAGTGGCTTTGTGAACAACAAGGTCCTCGCTTGAGCATGCTCACGAAGACTGCATATCGTCAACCTGAACAACAGTTCTATGTATCTCATGCATCAAAGTCTAGCCGGTTGGTGGACAGAGTAGGCTCGAAGGGTTTAGAGGAACCTTTACAATCTGTCGAGCAATCTGGAGCACTCACGGCCTATCTCGATCCTCATGCTGAGATTGCTCGTCTACGGCAGGAAAACCAGGAGCTGCAGAAGATGTTGGTCCGACTCTTAGAAGAGTCTATGAGGAAAGATGAGCAGATTTCTCACCTCGAAGCTCTTCTTATGAAGTCTACCCTCTCGTCTCATCCTAAGCATGCTGTTGGCCTGAGGGGAGATGCGTTCGCAGAAGGAGAATGATGAGCGTAGCGAAAAGTCACCAGGCACATCACTGTACTGCTAGCTATGTGTACCGGTATAAACATATTATCCAACATTGCCCTTCTTGACTTCGTAGTAGACTGCATAAAGCTGGTGGCGAGAGGGAATAAAGAGAGCAGAGAATGCAGAGCTTCTCTCACACGCGGTGATGGGATGGCGCCGCATCATGGCGGCAGTCGTGGCGCTTCGCCGCTTCGCTCTCTGGCGTTCAGCTTTCATGTCGCATTTTTGATAATGAGCCCAGATCACAGCCTCTGTCTGTGAGACCTTGTGCTCCTTAACCAGTACAAGTCCTTGATTCCAGATTAAATTTATGCTGCCAATGCAATCACGGTGTATATTTTATTCCTGCGCATACATTTCAGGAGTGTGAGGTACAGTAAACTGGATGGCTGATGTTCGTCGTGAAGGTGTACAAGGTAGCTCATCCGGTAGCTGCAAAGGCGTACCTCTGGGTGGTGTTTTCAGAGGATATACTTGAGCTGGAGGTAGCATCCCACTCAGCACAGCTGATCTACGATGCGGTGTAGAAGGCGCCGTCTGAATAGTGGAGCGAGTGCGTTTATTCCCAGTGGTGGTTTGTGTAGCCTGGTTCATTTGCTGACGCTTCTCGACTGCCAGAGGAAGCAGTTCAGCAAGAGAAATATGTGGATAACGTGAGCCGGAGCGGAACACATGGAACTTGGCGGCACTTCGCATTTTTGCCAGGTTGAGAACGAGGTCTTCGGAGTGGGTTGTATGCAAGTATTCGTCTGCTCGAAGAGCTGTTTCCTGGCGTTCCTGGCGCACAACACGTGTTCTAGAGGCCACACAGTGATTGCGGTGACAGTTGTGAAAAGTATGAGCAACGCAAAGGACACCCTGGATAGAACGTGTAGCGTTAGTTCTTACTGCACACCGTGGCATAACTTCAACGACTTACTTCGGCTTTAATGGATATGTACGCCTTTCTAGGTCTGATAGCTGGCATACGATAAGGAAGAATACACGCTTGCACATCCCATTGTTGCAGAAGGAGGTGGACGCGACCATCTTGACCTCGCAGGATCTCAAGCACCCGCCCGAGTGCCGGTGTAGCCTCACCCAAGTCGACCAATAAGAAGCCTTCCAACCGAGCTATGTCTTCGCCAGGGAGACTTACTGACAGACATGGCATTAGCAGCTCATCATCAGCCTCTCCGCCTTCAGCTTCGCTGATGGTTGGCAAGACAGACGCTGTGAGAGACTTGCTTCGAGGGATGAGTGCTGCGCCCTTCACAGTCTGTGTGTTCACTGAAAAATCATTCAATGTTAGCTACGTGAGGGAATCATATCCTCTAAGACGTACAAGAGAGCTTGCTGTCTGAGGCTGCATCGAGATGTGCCATGCCCATAAGCTGAAGAAAGATCTGATCATGTGCGAGTGCCTGAACGCACATTCCGGCTTGACGTCGTAGTCCCTCTTGAGTCGTTACGAAGCCACCACTGACAAGATGGCGGACAGCATGGGTAAAGCTCATTGAGTGGGCAATATCCTTGCTTGGTGCATGTCGGTTGGACAAAATGCTGCGACTACGTATGACGTAGTTGTACGATTCGAAGCCTTCCGTTGCCATAAGAATAGCAGGTCCGAAGCGGCGAATATGGAGCACGAGATGGAGAAGAAGATGAAACTTCGGTTTATTGAACCACTGAGTCGTCCATAGAGCTGTTGCGGCCAAGAAATCGTCAATAGCTTCCTGCAGCATAACTAGGTAGCTGTCAAGCTCGCGGATTTCTGGCTGGAAGACTAACGGACAAAGCCGGCACAAGGCTAGCCAGGCTTCATATGCTTCTGGCGGGACCAGATCGTAGAGTACTGCTGGTGCAACTTGGAGTATCACGCGGAAATCGCGGCCTGTTAAAGACTTTGCATATTGGACGAACGTCGAGCCTTGCAGATCGAAGAGACCAAGACCGGAGACATTAAGGCTTGAGAGGCGGGCCTTCAACGTCTGTTTACCGGCAGCAGACTGCCTGGAGACGGCATCACGCCAGAAGTACTTCGCGAAGCCTAGCAAGACAACATGTAGTATCTCTACTGGTGTGTCTGCGTTTGGATCAATATCTGCAACAAGAAGTTGAGTATCCTAAGACAGTGGGTTGCAAACAAACGTACCATCAAGAGTAAATATAGGATTGAGAATATCTTCTGGTGCTCGCCCATCAAGAAGTTGGTCGAGCAGCTCTCGAAATCCGGCACTCGCGGGACGTCCTTCGTCTTGATTTTGGGTCTTGAGCTTTGCGAGCTCTGCTGTGAGCTGCTCGAGGAACGCAGTAAGATGCTTGTCCTTTGCACCAGATTGTGTTGCCGTAGCATCTACGCGGGATGGTCGACCACTCTCGACGCAGTCCCATTGTTTCCGAAGTTCTGCAATAGTGTGCTCCCGTGTGCGAGGCGCACCAAGTGTGAGAAATGCTGAAAGAAGCCGATGCTGTTCCTGAGCTGATGTTGGGCCTCTGGACGTGTCCTTCTCTCCACCTGTGCAAACGCGACAGAAGAACTTTCCTGTCATGCCGACATGGGAGGCTAGCTCGCTTTGCATTGGGTTATCTCCAAGGAATGCAAATGGCCACGGAACGTAGATAACTTCTTCATTAAATACACAGTCCCAAGCGACGAGACCGTGGTCTTGGAGCTCTCTAAAGGAGCCGGATACATGAGATGGTAGGTTGCGTTGCATTGATCGGAAAGACGCACCTTAGATCCGCAGAGATACCCTCTAACATCTCAAGTGGAGCGGCAACATTTGACGTTGATAGGAAATGGATATTATAGGGTAGGTGGACATGCTCACGCGGCAATCCTGCCAGCACAAACAGGAACGAGTTATGCTTATTCCATTTCTTAGAGCTATTGCCAGAAGTGTCATCACAATACATCCATAACGGCAAGGGCAGAACACGACGGCCCTGGGCTTTCGCACGCCATGCGTTGAGGGGAGGATGTTCCCACTTCTCGATATGTCGACAGGGACGCGAACTTGAAGTTGTCTGGCTTCTTTGACAGCTGCATTTATGACGCCGAACGCCTATCGGAGATGAGAACAACCATCAAACATTAGTGATGCTGCGCACCTATAATCTGGTCTGGCGACGGTAGTTTATAGAGCGCAAATGACTCAAGGAGCCGTGGAAAGCTTAACTTGAGTGCAGAGAGCGGCACATCACGACAGTCCCGCTTTCGGCCTGCTTCAATGACGAAGCCGTCTTCGAGCACTGTCATGCAATGTGCTTGCGCGTGCATCGAGCCGTTCTTCATGAAGAATCGAACGGGCATTACTATGGCAGGTTTTCCCGTGCCATCGAGGTCAGCGAGACACGGCTCGTGTATGTAATAGTCTTGCTGTCCCTCAGCATCGCGCGCCATGATGCCGGCATACTTGGGCTCGACTTCAGACAACCATCTGTCAGCCTGACGGGCCTCAGACAGGTGTGGCGCACTCTTCTCCGGATACAAATGTAGCAGAGGGCGAACCATTGGATTGGCCATCTCCTGCGTGGCAGTTTAATTAAGCGTATTCAATGCACCTTGTAAGCGTGACTCACATGTGTCAGAATTGTTCCGAGGCTTGTCTTGCAATAGTAATTCCCAAGAGAGCTTTTGACCATCTCCGGCTGGGATCCCGCTGTCTTGAGGACAAAAGCGCGATGATCTTTGACAACGCGGACGCTGGGTAAATCGAGAGCACCGAGTTGGGTTGCGAACCACCGGGTGACGTCCATCTCGGCCTCTGAGAAAGCTGCGCGGGGAAATGCACCCAGAACATCGATGAGACATTCCTATATAACGAGTTCAGTCCACTAATATACTCTTGTGTGCCGGGATGACACTAGCCTTCTGGCTGCGCCATGGCCACCATTCCTCATTCTTAGGTGAAGAATGTTCTTCTCTTTCGTAGTTGTCATCTAGTGATATCCCATGTAAATGTTTAATCACTGATAACTTAATGTCCGACGCGTTACCTTGAGCGTGCTCAGCTGGACGAAGCGGATCGCTGAACTGCGGGTTTTCAAGCTGTCCGTCACCGCCATCACTGTCCTCTTCATCAGAGACATCCTCTACATAGGGACGAGGATAGTTGGTGAACGGCACGGTAGTGTGAGCGTTCATATGGCTTTGCTCTGCACGGCGGCCTAGTCGCCCACCCCAATCATCGTAAATCTGGCCTGGAGGGTCTGTTGGAAGGTGAGGACCGTGGATTGCAACTAAATCACGCTCCCATATACTGCGAGGGGTCATCTCGAGTGTGCTGTCATTGTCCGGATCAGGATCTTCGTCGTCGTCCGAGACAAGTAAGCGGCTTTGTCGTGAACAGTGCTGCTGCGATGGCGTGCTGGGAGAACTTGGTAGGGCAGCTGGCACATTATACACAACAGTAGGGGTTGCACTGGTATAGTATGGATCGCGAATAGGAGATGAGGGTGGTAGAGGCGAGGTGGGGCGAGCAGCTGGAGAGGCAACAAACAGGTCACTAGAGGGAACTCGCCCGTCATATATACGTAAACGACGAGTGTGCTCTATGGTTTCCTCGTGCTTAATTGCCATCTTCAAGGTGAGTGGGCGAACTGTCGCTGGGTCGCATATCTGACAGATGTACTTAGACCGCTCGACACAGAAGACTGCATGCTGGTCAGCTCAAAATGTACTTCAAGAGCAGAGAAAATGCGCACCTGATTCTTCCTCAAGCTCTTCCTGTACAGTATGAGCTTCACTGGAAGCCTCTTCGTACTCATCACGCGTCCGTTTCATCCTCGAGTTGGGCGACAGTAAGACTGCTAGCTGGTCTCGATGTACCTCTGTGCTCCCTCGGCCTTACACAGGCATTTCCTGCTTCACACCATGCGGAAAAGCCTCTCATTGAAAATCGGATTGTGGAATACACAAGATCTGGAGTGCAATCCGCTGATAGTGGTTACAGCAGAGTCTGCAGCGTGGTCGAGCGAAAATCGAACGGATTTCTGACTGAAGCGCGCAGATTCTGCTGCAATCGGAATCTGGGTCGCACGACTATCAAAATCGCGCGGATAGTGCCCAGGGCGCTGTCCGCGGGGGCCCTGTGTACATCGATGCGACGAGGGAGAAGTCCCATTACGTCACAAATAGATCTAAATAATGTTTTATTGTTGAGCGGAAGCATCAGATATGGCCGGAAGCTGGCATCATCCGTACAGGACACGCGCGATGCAGTAATATGCCCGGGACTGACATGGACAACGAACGGTGGTGTTCACAAGCGCTCACGGCGACGCACCCGTATATGGCAAGGACCGCCGGCAAACACCAATGGCCACCGGCGAACACCGGTGGTTACCGCTGGAGGTTGGCGAACGCCGAAGTTGCAAGTCACGGGCTTATAACTCGCGCGATGGAGCTGTCCTGAGATCTTTAGCAAACTCAGAATTTGACGACGGAGGATATTTATATCGGAAGCACACCGGGTGGAGTTATAAGCCCGTGACTTGCAACTTCGGCGTTCGCCAACTTCCAGCGGTAACCACCGGTGTTCGCCGGTGGCCATTGGTGTTCGCCGGCGGTCCTTGCCATATACGGGTGCGTCACTGTGAGCGCTTGTGAACACCACCGTTCGTTGTCCACTGGAACCCATCGGAATACAGCAGCAACTGGTGAATATTGCTGTGTATCAGTGGCAAGTAGTGGGGTATGTTGGGATATACCAGTGTTCAGCATGTTATGCTGGCTGCCACTGGTATTTGGTCCGGTCGATTCACATGGCAGGTGGCAGACACCACCAAACACTGGTGACATCCACTGGCAGGCAGTGGCCACTATCCATCAGCATATGCTGTTTATTGTTAGTATGTCATTGAATAATAATTTTTGGCATTTTTCACTGGTCTTTGGGCAAAAGTGTGTGACATTGGGCCATGGTGTGTGACTTGCTTTCCAGGTTGGGCTAACTCTCATGAACAAATTGTTTTAAGACTAGTATCTGGCAGGTTTGGTCTCATGCTTTGTGCATAGATGGCTTATATTACACATATTCTCACTCAGAAAATATACATTTACCTGAGAATCACAACAACAAGGTTCATAGCTGTTGAAATATTAATGTGACTGCTGGCAGCCTGCCCCCACTGCCTGATAGCTCATTCCTGAGCTTATAGAAAGTTTATAAAAAATCTCAGGAGCCTCTAACCAGGTCTGTGTAGTTTAATATGCTTCAAAGAATTACTTGCAGCTGCTTCCACTTGGGGACACATCCGGCAATCAATTTTACACACCTTTTGCACTCAGACAGTGTACCGCGTAGAGACACTTCAGTGAGAGCTGAGTTCTGGGATAGTGCACAGTTCAGAGGAGAATAGGCATCTATACAGATGCCGGTGGCTAAGCATGTATTGAGCTTATTACAGAAAAATATTTGTATCTATATTGGTACTTGATAAGCCAGTGGCTTCAAGCAATGTTTGATGCAAATTGCTGGTGATGTGTGCCGGTAGCCGGTGGCAACCTGCGAAGCCCAGTGGGATCCGGTGTGTCTCACTGCCGCCCACTGTTACTCACTGATACCCACCAGCCAACAGCAGCAGCCACTGGAGACTAGCACTGGACTTCACTGGATACCAGTGGGTGCCAGTGAGTACACCCCATATTCAGTGGAATTTGGTGTAGTTGTCAGTCCCGGGCATATTACTGACCGGGTGGTTCATCGAGCAAGGTTTTTCTGAAATGCGCTCATGGGTGGAAAAACCGTCATCTTCGTAGCTGTCTTGACGTATGATGAGGTAAGTTTCTACATTGTCATATGTGCGCGGACGACAACAGCGTTAATCCAGGCTTCTTTGACGGTCGTCATTGGTGTTAGCTGATCTCCGTCCCGTTCTCGCCAGAATATCAGCTGAGCTTCCATGGGTGACAAAGCCGTGTGCAGCTTATTTTCGCAGACGCAGCTGCCAGTGACGTCGAGAACTTTTCAGCTCTTCCCTTAACACCGGCAATCGCCGATTACACCCACGCTGGATCCTGCAAGCGAACCATCCGACTGTACGCCTCTCCACTATATAACACCGTTCAGTCGTCGTGGGCTACCATCTAACCACCGGGTGCACCGCTGTACACCATCGCGAATATCTTCACAGATACTTTCTTAACATGAGTTCCCCTGCCATAACGCTGCCCACGGAAACAATCTATGATATCGTCTTGATCGTCGTTATCCAGTACATAGATGATCTAGTCCTTGGACCTCTGTCTTTATGCGCGAAGACAGAGAAAGGCGAAACCAAAGAGGTAAATTCATCTCTTGGATCGGTCGATTTGGTGGGTCCAGCTTTGCTAATCATCAGTCTTAGGACCTTGAGCTGACGAGCGAGAACCCAGTCTTACCCTTCCTGGTCGTATCACTTCAGTTCCGCCATGTTACATTGGAAGTACTGTCCCAAAATCTCGGTATTCCATTACAAAAAGAAGGTATTTGGCGGTACGTGAAACGAACCGCATCGAGTCTATGTGCAACCGTGAATAGCAATCAATGTTAGACTCGAGGGCAAGCCGTGGGCAAAGATCTACCCTGTCCGCAAGTTCTGGGCAGATTCGGAAGATTTGGACCTGTCCACACTATCTGAGACGACCGTTATCGACCATTATGGCGACTCAGACGTGCTGGCGGTGTATGTTTTGCTGCATGTGACACGCAAGGTTGTGGAGACTATACAGCGCGGTAACAGATCATTTCACCTATCGGACAACCGGCGCCAGCTGCCAGATATCAATGCCTTTGGGACAATTGTGGACAAATTACATGGCCACTATATGCTCTGTCCTAGGGTGTTCCAGTTGCTCATGCAACCATCGTTGCAAGGATGCACGACTCGGTCTCTCATCAGTTAGTCTCTGGTCGCTGTTCAGTGCGGGTCTTTCACCTGATGATTCGGACCATTCGAAAATACCAGCACAGACATATGATGGCCCGTTGACAATGTTGACGGCGCAGTTCTTTCAGTACTCAATGCAACTTTTACTTGGAACTGTCTCTGAGGCGGAGGTGAGCTCAAGAAACTTTACTATGAGCGGAACTTGTACCGATGATAGCTGACTCGGAGCAGGCTACTCTGTCTTCTATGGCGAGCCTTATTCGTAGCGTCAAACGTGACGATGAAGCCATACTCGCTAGATGGAAACTTACTGTACCTCTCAGTCAAGCCATCGGAGCCTCGCGGGTATGTTTGAGTTGCTAGAGTTAGTGCTAGTGCTCAGATATCTTCACTTTAGTTGACAAGCTGGTACAAGGTCCTAAATGGCTTGAGCGGCCATAACAGTAGCGGCCAAACGACGGAGATAGCGGGAGAAGCTAGGCAGCTTCGTGACGTATTTTTAGGGCGACTCAAGGAGATGGGCATCTCCCCCGCCCTTGTAGCTTTGGAGGTACAAGATCAACTAACGCAGCTCTCACTTGAAGGTCTGTAACATCCATGCTGCTAAACTTCAATTTATCTCGAGTGGCTTGCCAATACAATGCAATCATAAACCTTACAAATTTCGACACGTCACCTGAGCTCTCGGTGTTACCTCTTGATTTGCATCAGGCTGTGAGTAGTCCCTAGTACGCGAGTGCGCTGTGACGCCAGATCTTGGGCGCTGTATAGGAGAAAAAGCGTTTCTGCCACCGCTATCTGCATGAGCTAGGCCTGTAGACCGAAGGAGACGAGGGTATAGATCGGTCAACGCGATTGATAGCTGTGCGAAGACTGAACGTCTGTGCGGTAACGCGCCCCGCGGCGCCCTACGCGTGCAATAACTCAGCAACCGCGCCACAAAGTCTCTACCACCAGTTTGCGTCTCCTGGCATCCCTCAAGCTTGTTGTATCAAAACGCACCGCCGACCGCTTTTGAACAAGGATTCAGCACATTTATCTATTTTTCCGCTCTTTCCGCCTTTTCTCGTACCTTTTCTGTACTACTTGAGCTTAAGACTTATAATAGTGTACAGAGAAAATAGCAGATCCGCGACAAGCTTCCCACTCCTCTTACACCATGTTCCGAGTTTGCAACTGCGCTTCCTCTCCGAGTCGATGTCCTGCGGCGCTCTCGCTGGTCTCCGAAGCCACCTCGCGATTACTTTTCGAGCTCTCGCGTGCTCTTGGATCTCTCCCATCCCCCTCAATTATTTATCTTATTATATTACCATTACCTTAGGTTGGGCCCCTAAGGTCTGAAGTTGAACGCACGCCAGCGCATCAGCGGATTGCGAGAGGGTTATCAGAGTATGGCAATATGCTCTCTTTGATATTGTCGTACGCGCATGGATGGCTCACGAGCAGCGGTTTAGGCCTGTTAGACTGTCTACCTCAGCGTAACCTTTCGCATTGGGATTGCAGCTGGGGTCCCTTAAGGGGGCGATATATGGCTGTTCTACTTCCGCTAAGAGCGGCTGACGCCTCCAGGTTCTCAGGACCATGTGCCGGTAAGATCGGCAATTGCCGGCTACATGCTTATCGTGGCGAGCCACCTGACTAGACCTGACTAGATCTCCTCTCCGAGCCAGATACAGCGCAGTTCAGTTACCGTGAGCTGTCCTCTAATCTCTATGTGTACACCTGCATGCTACGGTGCATGCTCAGTATGAGTTCTTCATCCCCAACGCTGCCCGCCGAGACAATCTATGATATCGTATCGATTGTAGTTGTCCAATACCTAGACGAACTCCTCGAGCCGTCCCAGCCAACGACGAAAGGAAGCAACAAGGCACGTCTACCTTTTCAATCATGCATATGGAGCTATGCTAATGGTTAGCGTCAGGACCCTGGACTGACGAAAAATAACCCAGTACTACCCTTCCTCATTGTATCGCTTCAATTTCGTCAAGTCACGCTGGAGGTGTTGTCTGATATCCTCAGCATCCCACTGCGCAAGGAAGGTACCTGGCGGTGTGTAGGACAGATCATCTAGAGCTTATGTGGAACCAGAGCTAATTGAAAGTAGACTGGAGAGCAAACCATGGACGAAGATCAATCCCGTTCGCAAGTTCTGCGCGACTTCGGTCGAGTTCGAGGCGCCTACCCTAGCTGAGGTGACTAAATTTGTTGATAGCGTCAAATCAGACGTGTTGGCGGTGTATGTCATGCTGCACGCAGTGAATAGGATCATGGACAAACTGCAGCGTTGTGCCGTACAGGCAGTGCCCAGCTTACATGGGTTAAATCAGCTTGAGGATGTCGGCGCAGCTAAAACCCTGGTTATGGACAGGTTGCCTGTCTATTTACCGCGCTGCCCTTCGGCATTTCAATCGCTGATACAACAGCCCATGAAAGCGTGTCTAATTGGTGTCCTCATTGGTTAGTTCGGCTTCTGTCTGGTACAGGTTTTCTGGCTAAACAGTCTTATGCATTCAATGTTTAGCACAGGGGTATGACACACCACTCTCGATTTTGAGGATACAATGGGCTCAGTGCTCAGCAGAAGCTGTACGTGGCGTTGCTTCAGAGGTAGGCTGAACCAGAGATCATACGTTGGGTCTGTACTGACGATTGCCGAGCAGGCCTCCTTGTCTGCTATGGCGAAGACTATTCGCAACGCCAGGCAAAACGATGCGTTCGTGTTCAGACAATGGAGGTTTAATACCCCTTTCAACCAGGCCATTGGGGCTCCACGGGTATGTACATATCCCTGGAGTCAGAGCTCGTGCTGAAGCGCCGGTATGACAGTTTAGAAGCTGGTTCCTCCTTCTGAGCCATCTGAGCAGTATACGTGGCAGCTCGAACGGGGCAGCAGAGGTGAAAGAAGTGGCAGTACAGCTCCGTGACCTCTTCGCAGGACGGCTCCTGGACATGGGCGTTCCTCTAGTCACAGATCCTTCAGATGTGGAGCAGCTAATATTGCAGCTAACACTCGCACATCCGTGACACGTGTACTATCTGCGTTCGAGCGATTCGCCAATGCGCTGCGGTCAATAAATTTGTACTAGTATCTCCTGCATCCTGGCGTTGCTCCCCTAACGGTCGGAGTCATGGACTGCTTCCGATAGGAAGGCCACTCCTCAGGCCTCAGGTACGGACGCGAAGTCGACATCTCGCGCAGCCACTCTCCGTGAACCTGAAAAACTGCTTCATCGTGGGCTCGGCCGCGGTGGGCGGTCCGGAACACCTCTGCGACTAACATAACTCGGTGCCTGCTAAATGTGCCGTTCACAGCCTGCTCACGGCGCTGCCAACAGGCACGCTGCGTCTAGGGCGGCACATACCTTAAGCATGCCACTTTCTCCATGAATCGTCCGCACAAAGAAACGCTCTCGGCGATAGGCTGCAGCCTCCGAGTGGGGTCTCATGCTGGCCGTGAGATGGCGAGTGTGCGATGGACCGCAGGATACGGTGGTGCATGACAACGAAAAGAGTACTCAAAGCTTACGGGGATGATATTAATGCTGGATACTTGGGCTTGCGCAAATTTTCTCCGACACGAACGAAGGTTTATTGGGATCCGGGAGGAATTGTCCCGCATGAGATCTGCATTCTCTCAGGAAGGAAATATTTTCTCAAGGATAGGCGCTTGTGTACGGCACTTCCGGCCGCTCCGCCACGAGGGCCGGAGTGGCGGCAGAGCTTTGTTCTAGCGTCGATCATTGCAGGCAGCTTACCTCCGTGATTTGTGCCTAGCAGCCAGCGCAACGCTCAAAGGTGCACTACGGGAGTGGGACGAACGCAGCCTGAACTGTATGGGTTAGAATCCACCTCGATTCCACCACCAAGACAGAACTTGGTGCGTGCAACATTCGAGCTTCTGTGCATAGATAATACCTGGAGGTCTAAAGGCCTAATGAGCCAGCTGATGCCCATCAGGAGGGTCGCTGCCATGGGGAAGATGAGGTCCCATGCGGAAGAATGGAGAATATGATATCAACCGTGCCTTTGCCGTCACTTCGAGCGATCTCCCCAGCCTGCTGCTCCCAGGAATCATCGTGCCTTTGCAGTTACTGGTGGACATGTAACCACAGACGCTCCCATATCTACCGTGAGATGCTGATGGCTCGACAGTAAGAGTAGATATCAGCGAGATCAGGTGTGTGCTGTTGAAGCGTCCGATCCTTTCGGTAGAAGTTGTATAAGAAGATACGGGCTGATATCGCCTCTTAGAGCTTTTTACCCTCTTGCTCATCCCCTTTGCAAGCCCAGGACTACGCTGCTGGCCAGCAGTGCTTTCCACAATGGCGAACGTAACCGTAACACTTCCCGCAGATGCAGCTCCTATGTAAGTCACTTCGTCGTCACTCCAAGTTACGACCACTAAGTCATTATCCGTAGCGCTGGCCCATTGGTGAGCAAGAGCACGCTATGCCGTGACCCAAGGTGACATCAGCTTTGCAGCTTCTGGGCTACCTCTTCAACTGGGGTCTATTTGGTGTTCTATCCGCACAAGTCTGTAAGTGCCGTCGATAACTCTGATCTCTAATGCTGACTCGGAGTTAACGATGTCCCGCGGCAGATTTGTACCACATCGCGTTCCCAAGGGATCGCTGGACAATGAAGACCCTAGTCTACGGCGTCTATCTCGTCGAGATGGTGCAAACTATTCTGGTAACGCATGACGCTTTTGGCGAGTATGCGAGGGGGTTCGGGAACTTGAAAGCCTTAAACGCGGAAGGACTGCATTGGATAGCAGTGCCTGTCTTTAGCGGCATAGGTAAAAATAGGCTCTATTGGGTCTCTCATTGCATGCTTACCCGAGACGACAGTTAGTGCAACGGTGCAGATGCATTACGCCTATCGCATCAGCATACTCTCGGGCTCAAGGATACTCGGCCTAGGCATCTCCGTAGTACGTCTCGGAAATGGTGCTTTAGCAGCTTGACGCTCAAAGTGCTTTAGATTGCACTGTTCCAAGGCTCCTCTGCGATCGCTCAGGGCGCTCAGGCGTTCATCGTTGGAAGTATCGCGAACCTTGCCACTACCAAGGCATTTACCAGTTGCGCTGTACGCCGTCCGCTTCGACTTTCAGAGCAGCTGTGCTTATATTACCACGTCTCAGATCTGGCTTGCCGCTACTGCAGCTTGCGACGTTATCATTGCCGGGTGCATGACATTCTTCGTACGTTTATGGCGCCATCTACATAGGCATCAGCAGGCGTACTTATGCAGATGCCCGACAGCTCCTGAAACATGACAGCAAGCTCCCTGAGACGCACGCTCTTATAACAAAGCTCGTCCGGCTCGTCATCGAGACGGGCACGCTGACAGGTGCGCACGTCTCCACAGCCCAACTCACTCACCCGAGCCCGCTAACATGTGTTCGCCCGCGCATCAGCCCTGGCAGCGACGGTAGACCTCGCCCTCTTCCTCGCGTTGCCGCACAAGGCGTACCACGGCTGCGTCGCGCTGACACTCGCGAAGCTGTACTCGAACTCGCTCCTCGTAATCTTCAACAGCAGGGTTCATATCGTCGGCGGGCGCACGCACTCTTTCGATTCGGCCGAGGACGCGTGCAACTCAACGCCGGCGAAGAGCCGGCCCGGCGCCGTGAGCACGATTCGCTTCAATCCTTTCGCAACCTACGCATCGCTTGGCGGTGTGCACGCCCACGAGGAGTTGCGGATAGAAACAAATTCTCGGTCAATACAGGTGGAGGACCAGGTGCGCTTCTATCCTTCTCGTTATAGAAGTACCGGTGTTGACGTTATGTCTGACTTATCAGGAATTTTCTGAAAAGAAGTTCGCCAGCATCGTGCCTGAGGTCTAAACGACCCATATTCTCGTTTCATTCACTTCATTGTTGACACTTGGCATCCGAAATATTCCCAGATAGGAAATCTATCCATGATTACTATAGCGTTATAATGTTGGTGTAGACTACTGTATGTAATACTGTGTATATCCTGTGGGTGTGAAAGCACGGCGGCTTTGATAGGCACATTCTCGGCCTCCGCTCTGCGCTCGATGAGTGATGGCCAACGACAAGTCCATGCAATGTACAACTTAGCGCATATGGCACTACAACTTGTTATGAGGATGATGAGCAATATGAGCCTGAGCTTTGGAAATGAAAGTATGATACACCGAAGCCGCAGCTGTAGCATTAATGGTCATGCTTCACAGCCTGTGCATTCTTGTGCAGCCAGAGACGCGACTCGTCTCCTTCACAGAATTTACAACAGGCGCGGTTTTAATCTCTTGTAAAGCAGTTAATTTTGATGCTTACTCCTATTACCATTGCGTAATGAAAGGGTTAAGTCGGAGTGGCAAGAGGCTTTCGGAGTTCAAATCTCCTTCAACACCACGTCAGAGCGGGTACAAAGGTCCATAACAACACTGTCCTTACCTTCGGTTAAGACGAGAAAATCTACGCTCTCGATCTGCCCTGGGTGAACTCCAAGTGGACTCTCGCGGCAGGAAGCTGCGTTCCATGAGCGTGGTCGCAAAATGGGAGGGACGACCCACGGCTTGTCCCGCTCTTAGGGGATATCACTCGTGACAATGTTGGACTGGACGGTGCCCAACAACGTGAGGTGCTTTCCACTCAACATTCTACTGATGCAGAGTGCTAACTAGCCATATACGATAGGTTCTCATACCCACCACTCACATTATCCGTCATGCCCGGACGGTCAACTTCGGCTTCGAGTTCCAGTCATTCGAGGACCAAGTTGTAGGCGTGTGGAAGCCCGTGGACACCTTTGCCGGCGTGAATTACCCTGTCCAACTGCTGACAACTTGTTCTATCCGCTTACTAATGCCTTGGACCCTGTGAAGGGTCCCGTGCCCGAGCGACCTTTATCCGACCCCAAACTGCCTCTAACATCAGGCACACTGCGTCGAAATACGTGGTGGAATACGTGAGTGCACCCCATCCCGGTCCTAGTGTCTATTCTTGACGATGCAATACTAGATCCTGGACACAGCGTGGGAAAGGGCGTCCCTGTCACCGCCGTGCGCATAGGCCAGGCCTGCAAACCGCCGAGGCAGACGAGCGCGTGGGGAATGACTAAGTGAATTCTGATCCTGAAAAAGTCGGGCATTGAGCTAATTTGACTCCCTGCCACGAACGGCGCGTGCGTGCCTGCCCTGTATCGTGAGCTTGTATTGATGGCAATGCACACTGCCCATTGTATGGATCCCCGCTCCCTATAGCTGTCTGCCAGGAGTAGACGCCCATATTCTCAGATGCCCTGAGGCTATCATCTCGATAAGGAAATATTGCGGCTGCTACAAGAAGCGCCCATCTGCTTTGAAACGCTACCAAACGCAAGAAGGGTATAGTATGGAATACTTAGATTTGGTTTTCCCAATCTTTTCTTTCCAGGGTTCACTGGGTTAGCCTTTCAACCAAGCTATCCTGGTGTTCGTGGGGGACTAATTCAAAGACCACCTACTAATCTGCTTAAGTACTCTAAAGCCTCACTTGCCTGTTTACAAGGGACTTTTTAAGGAATCTTAGAAGATGGGCTGTAAGAAGGTTTGGTTAGTAGCTTAAGGACTAGCTACTTGGGTTAGTAGAATAGGGTTTTTAGATAAGTAAGATAAGAGGGTAATAAAGACAAGTTAATGTCTTGGTTAACTTAGTAAGCTTTGGCTAGTAAGAACAATTTAATATCCTTAGAGGATTTGTATAACTTGAAGTAGTCTGAAGCTTCCAATTTAGAGTTGAAGATCAAGAATAGATTTAATCTCTTTACTGCTAGTCTAATTACTGTAAGCTCTACAGGAGACGTACCACAGTCTCAAATAATAATGCCACTAGCTCTCGCAGTCTAGGGTTAGTCAAATAGTGAACTCATGCACTATACCAAGGGCGTTTCCCTTCAGGTTATTTGAAAGTCAGAGGCTCTACTGTGCTTAAGGAATTTCCTAGGCTTTAAAGAAAGGAGTCTATTCTCTGAGAGCTAAAGAGCTCAGGGGATTAACTGCAGGTTTGCTGCTAGCTAAATCCTTGAGAGTGTGTGTGGTGCTTGGTGGGTTGGTGTGTTCGTGTCCTTTTTGCTCTCAGAGAACCTCTCCTATTTATACCTTTCAGCCTGTTGTTCCTTAGCCAATAGCAAAACTGGCTCTTCTATTCTACTGTAATTACTAAGCTACTTCTACTTTTATTAGTAAGCATTTTGTCTGTATTAGTCAGCCTTCTGTCTGTTTTACTAATGTATTGGTAAGCTATTACTAATGTTTGTTAGAGTATTACTATATTTTGGTAATTCATAGCTGTTGAGCATAGACCTTTACTAAGCATAGTTTCTAGATTACTAAGAAGCTGAGTCATATTATTAGTCATTGATTCACTTTTAGTAAGCTTGAGTGTTTATGCTTACTTTGCAGCTCTGAGTAAGCAGTTTCTTTTTGATTTGAATACCTATTATTCCTTTAGTTTTCCTATACTTATAGTTATGGTGCATGACACCGCATCAACGTTCTTTTGGGCTCGAGGGTACTGGGCTTCGGTATCTCTGCAGTACGCGTCAGAACTATGACAGCATTTTACCTGATGTTGGATGTGCTTCAGATTGCGCTGTTACAGGGAGGCTTTGCGATCACTCAAGGTGGCCATGCCTTCAAGATTGGCAATTTCACCAACCTGACAACCAAAGCATTTCAATTTGTCAGCATTGCAGTACGCTGCCTCTCATATCTCTAACTATCATCAGAGCAGCTCTGCTCATATTGCTGCATTATAGATATGGCTTGGAGGTAGTGCATTATGTGACGTGATCATTGCAGGATGCATGACATTCATTGCAAGTTACCAATGCCGTCTGCACTTCCATTGGCAGATGCACTGATGCTGGTGTATGAGCAGCTTCTGACAAAGGACAGGAAGATGCCCGCGACACACACTATCATGATGAAGCTAGTGCGGCTTATTATAGGGACAGGCATGCTGACAGGTGTGCACCCCTTCACTATCGCCGATGCCCTCGCTTACATTATTCTACTTTCACCGCGCATAGCCATCGCGGCGACCATCGACTTGACGCTCTTCCTCACTTTTCTGCATGATTTGTACTACGGCTGCATCGCGCTGATGCTCGCAAAGCTATACAGCAACTCGCTCTTCGCGCTCTTCAACAGCCGCATCCGCAGCATCGGTGGGCGCAACACGCTGTACCTCTGACCCGGCAACCTGCACAGTTTCATAACAACTAAGGGCCAGCCGGGAAACGTGGATTCCCGCGGCGTCGTCAGTACTATCCACGCCTTGGACTTCAATGGCGCGCACAGTGCGACAACGACAACGAGATCACTCGACGACAGTGTGCATATAGATGAAGAGAGCTGGGTCAACACTGGCCTTGGATGTATCCAGATAGAGTACCAGGTGATCTATCTTTGTTTTATGCCCTCTAAAATAGTGCTGACATGTGTCAGGGAAAGACGTCAGAGCCTCGCGATGCTCTGTAAGCCGCAAAGCTCTGTATCCCAAGATCATCAGCTCTCTGTGGCTGTCAGGGTTTGGATACACGTTTGGATACACTGGTTTTGTAAATGAGATATATACTAAATTATCTCAGCAAATTACGCCAGCCGGCAATTTCTTCCGCCACAGTAGCTTCATTTTTGAGAGAGTGCTGATCTTTTGTGGGCACCTCCTTCCAACAACTTTTGCTTGTATCGGAGAGAACTTGCGCATGCTGAATCACTTAAGCATTATTTTCATCGCCAGCCTTATCCCATCCAAAGGTTCACTTTGTTGCCAGCGCGGGCTTTGCCACAGTTAGATCGCCATAACAAACACATGTTAAGCTTACTTTCTTTAATGTTTCTGTGAATGCAGATTATCGATGCCACTGTGTAGTGAGAGAAAGTGGACGAATGCTCTATCAGATCTTGTCTCGCCTTTCTATGATCGATTTAACTAGTGCTGCACTCATACCAGCCTACATTACAAACCTCTTTGTCCTCCAGTAACACACTTAAGCGTGCACATTCCTCTGACATGGCTGAATACTGCGCGTTGCTGGGCTAGATCACAGGATTTCTGAGGTATCATACACGACGTATACCACACCTTCAGTACACCAGTGTCTGCGCCACCCTGCGCTGGGTGAGCGAGGGAGAGAGAAAGGTCCATGATCTTGACTGCGGGCTGACTGAACAGAGCGTGAGACTATTGTCACGTTGAGAAAGAGAAAAAGCTGACAATCTAGAAGAGGTCCTCAGCTGCCAAGTTCGCTGCATGCTCTCTGAGCCTAGTAACCCACTTCTGCATGGGAATGATGGGAAGCACATTGCTGAGCTCTTGGAGCTGATTCAGTTCAGCAGCCTAGACACGGGAACTTATTAAGTTACACCGGACTAGCCACCCAGAAGCGCCCATTAAGGCTCCAACCGTTTAGTTTACGTGTAAAATTTTTTTCTCAACACACAGTAAACAGTTGTAAATGTTTATAAATAGTTTATAAACAGTAAACAAACAGTTATTACAGGGATCTAACCCACTCTAGTGGATTGCGCCAGATTAGCCTCTGAGAAACCTGTGTGAGCCTACTGCTCTACTTGAGCCTGAAAAGAGAGGTACAAGTGTCAGTGCTTGAGCAACGCAAGGTGCTTGCTTGATGCACAAGAGAAAAGCGAGGCCGCAGCTTCCTACTTACAATATTGATGTCCCAAACACTAGGCCTAACTCGGACGTGTATAGATAGTGCACCTACTCATGCGTACAGGGAAGGAGCAATGCGTGCATCACATCCCGAGCACGGACCGGCCATCAGGCAGCATCTGAACACTCCATACCTCAAGCATTGTGCTATGGTCATTCCTATGGCCCACTGGTGTCCTCTACGCATGGTACGCAGATTGCAGGTGCACAAATAGTCTTGATCGGCCAGTGGAGGTTGTGAGAGGACAAACACTGGCAATTACAAGCTGCGGGAGCGGTATTGCCAGGCAGCACTGTACTACGAGGGTAAGACCTATGAAGGCGTCCGTGGGGCTTGTAAGAAGCTCGCAGTTCTGCCTTTAGAAGGTTGGCATGTCCTATCATTGACCTTGTCGTTGAGAAGTGGGCTGATAACCTATGCAAGTGTTAGCCTGGCACTTCGGGGGTGGCACAACATACTCTCGCGCTAAGACTTCAAGAGCTGGCCTAGAGAAGACTGCCGCATGGGTGCAGACCTCTGATAGCCCTTTTTTTAGAGTCAATCTGCCTTAGTATTGCATGTGGTACTGTCATCACTCAATGAGGTTGAACTAATATTAATATTGTTCCTCTTGAATGAAGTATGGGCTCATGACATTCCTGCATACTGCACTCTCGCAGGTAGGCTGCCAGTGCCCACAGTAAACTATATGTAGAGGAGCAATCAATAAATACATGTTATATTATATTTATAATGTTTGCCTTCAGACTGTGCTCAAAACAAGTTAGGATCATGACTACCATTACTCCCAGTAAGTCTCAGGGCATAGGCACTTGATACAGTGCGTCGGGCTTGGGGGTTCAAAGAGGCTGCCTGAGGACGATGCACAGGCGGTACAATGCACTCTTCAGCCCAATAAAGGTCAAGTCTGTTAGCAAGACTATGAATGTACAACACTAAAACCCTTTATAAACAACAAGAGGAAACTGTATGTTTACTGTGTATAAATGCTTACACCAAGTTTACATGAGTTCATTGACACACACGGAAATGGTAAACAGTAATAAACATTTATACACAGTAAACAAATAAAACAGTTGGAGCCTTAGCGCCTATAAGTGGCTAAGACACTGAAAAGCCCAAAAAATGGCACAGGCAGGAATCAAACCCACAGCCTGAAAGTAACCACGGTGCACTATACCACTAAGGCATAAGACCTTGCAAACATTGGGTTGGAATTGGCCTATAATACCACTTTTCCACCTTAGTCTTAGCTGCCCAAAGTCATATTAGCCAATTATTACTATACTATTACGCAGATGCCCTCAAAGTAAGAAACAATTTTTTTATCCCTGTTTTACTTGCTCCAGAGGCCCCCCTCTCCCATCCCTCACTTTATATACCTTTCGACGGCCCCTATTTTGTCATTCTCCTTGATTGGGCCCAATCGCTGCTTTTGCTCTCCTTTGCTTATGCCGCATGCAGCGCGGCTATGCTGCAGCTCTGAAATCGAAACAGCAAGTGAAATCAAAAATTTTGAGCTTAAATTTCCCGCCTGCAGAACCACATCCACAAGGACAGCAGTCACGGAGTGCAGCGAAGCGGCCTCTTGTTAGGTATTAAAGCAATGAAATGTAATTGTACAAAGGTGTATTCTGATGTTATGGCTAAGACACTGGTGTGGCTAAGACACCAGCATGGCTAAAACATTGAAATATTAAATATCTGCTATCGATTCTGCTTATTGTACATATGTATATTCTAATGGCATGGTTAAAGCACCAGTGTGGCTAAGACACCAGTGTGGCTCAGACACCAGTGTGGCTCAGACACCAGTGTGGCTCAGACACCAGTGTGGCTCAGACACCTGAGTAGATGAATTATACTCAAGTGGAATCAATGGCAAATATTCAATGCCTCAATGTCTTAGCCATGCTGGTGTCTTAGCCACATCAGTGTCTTAGCTGCCCAAAGTCCTATATTTTAGCCAATTATTATGTATCAAAGCAATGGAATGCAATTGTACAAAGGCATATTCTGATGTTATGGCTAAGACTTTAAGGTGGAAAAGTGGTATTATAGGCCAATTCCAACCCAATGTTTGCAAGGTCTTATGCCTTAGTGGTATAGCATGCCGTGATTACTTTCAGGCTGCGGGTTTGATTCCTGCCTGTGCCATTTTTTGGGCTTTTCAGTGTCTTAGCCACTCATGGGCGCTTCTGAGTGGCTAGTCCAGTGTAACTTAATAAGTTCCTGTGTCTAGGCCACCGAACTGAAACTCTTGGCTCTTGGTGCAAACCGCAGAGGGTGACGTCCTAATTCTTCGCTGATGGACAACGCTCACGAGCGCAGGAAGCCTGTCATCTACCGGTACCCAGTAAACAATCAGCGTTAGGTCAAACTTCACCTGGCAAAAGTACTCATGAAGCAATTTCCCAGTATGCATCCAACATATATCAAGAAGGTTACTTATGAGTAATTAAAATGGCCCAGTCTGATGTATTTTTCCTGACCCGGGCCTTCCGAGGACATGAGATGCTGCCTTGCAGGATGACTCAAAGGATGAATGCCACGCCGCACCTTGTGCCGCACAGGCTGCTCCTCTGCAACCTCCTCAGCCAGTCGTCATAAGAAGGCTTCATTTTACCTTATTACAACTGTTAACCATGTACTTCTGCTATTTATAAGTGCAAGCCGCCAGGTAATCAATGTTTGTTGTGCTGCAGCAAGAAAGATTCAAGTCGACTCTGGCAATTACACCATGCAAAGCTCAGAAGAAAGTTGGACAGGAAGAGTCTTTGTTGGCATGTTATGTAGGCCTCCAGAGAGGAGGCTGAACCCCTTATAAGTAAGATTAGGGAAAGCTTCTCTCGCCACATTATGAAGACCCCCAGAACTCATGATTCTCCAATCTCACGCCCCTGCAATACTAATTGGGGATACAGTGAATTAATTGTAGGAAGGGCCACTCATTGCGCACATTGCCATCTCTGCTGAGCTCACTGTGGGAATAAGTATGACTGGGCTGCCAAACCTCGTAGATTCTCTACTGGGAAGATCATCGGATTTATGGCCTCGTACACATTGCCACTCCTCGGCTGGCATGAGTACGCTACTGAGTGTATCACAGATAGACTGTGGCTTTATTCAGCTGAGGCAGCATCTTTGGTGCTCGTGCAGCATGCATGATGTCTTCCCGTAATGTTCGGGTCACAAGCTCTTCATCCTCGCCATTCCATTGATCACATACTTGTCTACCTTGAATAGTTTGCAACAGCGTGGCTCCTGATTTTTTTGTTCTTCAGAGCTCTGCAATCTATGGGGCAACATTATATCCTGCTATGCCTCAGGTCCACAAGGTGCGTCTCGTTTTGACTTCCCTCACTATCATGGGCCTGATCCTCCGTAGCGAAACATCTGAGCAATGGATCCTATCATCCCTCCGCCCTTCTACATTCTGCTCGGGAATATCTGACTCCTAGAGTTATGTGCAGAGTAGATATGTGTGGCGCTGCTGATTGTGTTGTTTGGCGGTTCAATGCAAGTGGACGGGCAACTGTTTCTTTCCCCCTCACATTAGCATTGCCACTAATTCTGGGGACGATCTCGCAGCGTGCGGCTGTGCCACAGCGGAGCACACCTGACATCCGCACCGGGACCTTTAGTGGGTATCGCCACCGCAGAGTGCTCAGAATAAAGGCGCCTACAGGGTGGGATATATGATATTCCCGGCCGCGGTCTCCACCTTTTCTCTTAAGGAAGGCGAGAACGAGCGACGGGCGCACAGGACATGCCCCCGGTGGATGCCACCAGGCCTGTCATTTTTCGCGTGGCTGACGTTTTGAGACAAACGCTGTTGGCGCAGTCTGGAGCTTCCGCGATGTCGCCGGAACGGTGAACTCAGTCGTCACAATCTGTGCGTCCCAATCTCATTTTGACAGGCAAGGATCTGGTGTAATTTGCTGAGGCGCCGCACCTGCCCCTTGGTGCACATTATGTCTTTGAAACAGAACAGCTCCGCGACGCCTTTGCAGGACAATTTATAAAAACGAGTGTTTCTTCGGTCTCAGAATCTCCAATTGTGGAGCAGCTGATATTGCAGCTCACATCAAGAAAACCTCCGGGTGTTGGAGGCTTCTTGGATTAGATGGCATGTCTTAGTCTGCCTCAGGCATTGTTGGGACCTGTCTTGGAGGTGTTACCCAGCATCATCGAGGCACCCAAGGCATATCGGTCCGATCCCAAGACGCACTGCAAGCGACGTCAAAATGTTTGGACATTTTCCTGATGCAGATACGCGCATCGAAAATTTTCGTATAATTTGTACTTGAGCTATTCACTGATGTACTGTGGTCAATAATTTGCATCACCTAGTTTTGCATTTCAATCTCCTCATAGCTGGAATTATAGTTGAATTCAGACGGAAGAGTCTCTCCGTCGCTGTGATGGATATCTTGTAGTTAGAATATTATTGAATCATCAATCCGTTCCTTACTTCATTCCGAAGTAATACACCCGCAACCAGTACTACAGGTCGAAGCCAGGGGCGTACCTACCAAGACTCCGTGCTTTCGCGCCGAGAGGATATATATGGTATTACATGCGTTAGCCTACACCAACATTATAACATGATCGCGACTATAGATAAACATCCTATCGAAAGAGTGTCCAAATGCTCAGTGTTAGTAATGAAGGTAGAACTGAATGGAACGTCGAATACAAGTCTCTAGACCTCGGGCATAGTTCTGGCGAATTGTTCGCAGAAAACCCCTGACAAATCGGGGCAGATGTCGCGTCAAGATCAGCCTATCTATGACGAGAAGGATAAAGCACATGCTTGGTCCCCCATTTGTATCGGCTGGGAATCTGTGCGTATCCGCAGCTCTTCATGAACGTGCGTGCCATCGAGCTACGCCGTGTAAATGGCGGAAGAGTTGAAGCAAATCATGCTCATGACACCGGGTGGGCTCTTCACCGATGTTGAGCTGCACGCGTCCCCAGCCTGCTCGGAAGAGTGTGTGCGCCCGCCGACGATATGGATCCTGCCATTGAGGAGCACGAGGAGCGAGTTAGAATACAGCTTCGCGAGTGTCAGCGCGACGCAGCCGTGGTATGCTTTGTGCGGCAACGCGAGGAAGAGGGCAAGGTCTACTGTTGCCGCCAGGGCTGACAGGCGGGAAGATACATGTTAGCGCGCGTGGGTGAATCAGTTGGGCTTTGAAGTTATGTGTACCTGTCAGCATGCCAGTCCCGACGACGAGCCAAACAAGCCTCGTTATAAGGGCGTGCATCTCAGGAAGCTTGCTGTCGCATTTTAGGAGCTATCGAGTACCAGCATGAGCACGCTTGTTGACGTTTATACGGAAGGTATCACAGACGTACGAAGAATGTCATGCACCCGGCAATGATAATGTCGCAAGCTGCAGTAGCAGCAAGCCATATCTGTGACGTGGGAATGTAAAGAGTTGCTCTGATAGTTGGGGATAAAGAGAGCCGTACAGTGCAACTGATAAATGCGTTGGTAGTGGCAAGATTCGCGATGCTGCCAATGATGAATGCTTGAGCGCCCGAGGCGATTGCAGAGGAGCCCTGGAGGAGCGCAATCTGAGACACCTTGAGCATCGAGCTGCTGGAACATCGCTTTTTCTGGGACATACTGCGGAGATGCCCAGGCCGAGCATCCTCGAGCCTGAGAGGATGCTGACACGATAGGCGTAGTGCATCTGCACCATCGCACTCACTATCGTCTTGGATGAGTACACGATGATAAACCTGACAAAATCTGCATTTACCAATACCACTGAATGCAGGCACTGCTATCCAGTCCAGCCCTCCCGCCTCTAAGGCTTCCAAGTTCCCGAACCCTCTCGCATACTCATGAAAAGCGTCAAACGTCACAAGAATGGTCTGCACCATCTCGATAAGATAGACGCTGTAGACTAGGGTCTTCATTGGCCAGTGATCCCTTGGGAACGCGATGTGGTACAAGTCTGCCGTGAGACATCATTGACTCTAAGTCGGTACTGGAGATTAGAATCATCGACGGCACTTACAGACTTGCACAGATAAGACACCGAATAGACCCCAGTTGAAGAGATAGCCCAGGAGCTGCAAATTTAACACCCATTTTAGGCTACGGCATGACGTGCCCCCACTCACCAATGGACCGGCACTGCCGATAGGAAGTCAGTGGTTGTAGCTTAGAGTGACAACGAAGCGACTTACATAGGAGCCATGTCTGCCGGGAGTGTCAATATTACATTCGCCATTGTGGAACACACGACCGGGGACGGGGACGGGGACGGGGACGGGGACGGGGACGAAGGATGAGGTAGAAAGCTCTAAGAGGCAATAATGCTTACATCTTATGCGACTTCCACAGAAAAGATCGAATGCTTCAACAGCACATACCTCAACCCGGCGATATCTGCCCTTGACAGTCGAACCGGATATTAGCGTTCCATGCCAGTGGCGGATATGGGAGCTTCTATGGCGATGTGTCCACCAGCGGCTGTGACGGCAAAGGCAAAATTGTTTCACGTCCTCCGTTACTCTGCGGTTCGCCCCGGAGCGCACCTTTGAGCGACGCGCCAGTCTTGGAGGTCAATTGCTGGCGAATTTCAGCACTAGACTATCGATTGTGAGGCCACCCAGCATAAATTCGGGCATAAACTGGATTCTGCTGCCACATGCACGTCTCCGGGGTTTGGATCCCCTGCGAAGCTGTGGCGGAGCTGCCGAAAGCGCCTAAATACCAGCGCCCATCTCTGAGAAAACATTTCCTTCTTTAGACCATGCCTCTCCTCAAGCGCAAATATCCAGTCACTGGGCTGAAGTCACTCCAGCAACGTCCTTCCTGTGGGTTACACAGCTGCACGTATGAGACTGTGGTGACAGTATCTGGGAGATATTGAACATCACGCGGGCGCGATTTCGGTCATTCGAGAATCTGATCGTTGAGCGTTGGTTTTTGTCTGACCATGTCATACAAGTCTCAAGATACTCCGCATCCGAGAATCTGACCATATTCTCTACACCCAAGAATCGTGAGTCCGCCCGTCAGAAATTCTGCGCCTAAGACTTGTGCAAATGAGTTTTTGTGCTCGCAGCACTGAACTGTGGGGAACTAGGCATGTCACTTCAGAGGCTCTTCACCATGACGCGAGCACATGTGTACGCGAGCTTGACAGCCGTGTTGATTTCAACCTACGTCCATGCCCGCCAGTATCCTGAGTGTATCGAACGCGTCTTTATGTCGAAACCGCGCAAATCCACCCTTGCCTCCTTCATCACCCCCCGAGTATGATCGGCCCACCAATCGTGTTTCGGTTCTGCCTCTACGCAACACCTTTGGCACATCATACACCTTGTTGAGCTTGCTGAATGCATCATGCCCATGTCAACCGCTCCGCCCGCATATACCGGCCGGCCTTGCTGAACTGCCCGGGGCTGATCAGGCTGCAGCTGACGACCAACTAGAGATGAACCCTCTAGGATCTATTCATGACCTCAGCTACCTAGCAATCCGCTCGAACAGGTATCTGACAACTAAGCTGGGCTGACTGGGGCAGCCAAGTCCACATTCTTCTGAGTGATCACTACCCGCGCAAGCAGAGATGCTCCTTGCACCCCCGGCGCCCTCAGATAGCTCTAGTACCAAAGCAGAACCTGATTTGGAGATGCAGTGGTCTCCTTGAGGATGACCACGATACTGGCAGCATACCGGTCTTGTGGGGGCAAAGGTACCAGTGAGCTTGATGATGGACCATTCTCCATCCCGCAGCCTGCTGCTCCAGCATCCGCCATGGCTCAATATCCTGCAGCCTAGGTTATACATATGTTCTACTGTAGTCTCCCGTCATTCAATGTGCACTTTTATGTATCGAACACGAACGAACGTGAGCTCTGAGGCTCTGTGGGCGCCATTCTGTTGCGGGGAGATCTCGGATCGGGGCGGATTTCGCATTGCACAAAATCATGATTTCGGTCGTACGAATCTCAGACAAAAACCAAGCCTCAAAGATCACGATAGTCCGGATCCCAAAATTTGCCAGATCTTGAGCTCCACAGTCTCATCCGTGCAGCTGTGTACCCCCCCCCCCCCCGAAAGCCCTCTGTACTGCCATTATCAGCACATATCGTGGTCCCATCGCACGCTCTCCATCTCGGAATCCTAGGTTCAGGCCGCGGCCTCAGGACTCGGCCGTGGCCGCCTAACGGGCAACTGAAGGCCCCGGTCACAGCAACTGAAGGGCGCACCAAGGTATGTAATTCACAGTTTGGTCCCGACGCAAATGACAGATTCAGTTGCTTATGTCAGGTCTGGATATGCTGCGTCACAGATTTCCCGCGCAAGAACGCAGGTCAGGTGTCCCTGCCAAGTCCGCGATATTCTCAAAACCATATATTACACCTGGTCTTACATGCACTAGCTTACAGCATCATTACAATGGCAGAGTCATCATAAACAAGCGCCCTGGCTAAAGATGTCCCAAGCATGGGGAGAGGTAGGTGGTGGTGGCGGCATGGCGGGACGAGGCGCGAAGCGCAAGCCCCATTTAGACGTCGAGCGTGAGGCCGGCAGACTTCTTCGCGGAGAACGACTGGCGGGTCGATATCACGTCAGTCACCAGCCTCTGCTGTAACAAAAAAAGGAGAGAGAGAGCGCACCTGGTCCTCCATCGGTATCGACTCAGGGTCCGTGTCGATATAGCGTTCCTCATGGACGTGCATACCGCCAAGCGACGTCGTCGTCGTCGTCGTCCCACACGATCCAAAGTCCACCGCACGGAACGTGCTCGGCGCGGCGCCAGTCCCCGCCGTCGCGCCGCCGGGCGCGCCTTTCACCGGCCCCGAGCTGTACGAGGCGACGACGCCGTGCGACGTGCCGTTCCGTCCGCCGACGATGCGGATGCGGCTGTTGAAGAGCACGAGGAGCGAGTTCGAGTACAGCTTCGCGAGCGTCGTCGCGACGCAGCCGTGGTACGAGTTGTGCGGGAATGCGAGGAAGAGGATGATGTCGATCGTCGCCGCCAGGGCTGGTGGGGCGTGCGCGCGCGCGAGAGAGAGAGAGACCGTGGTCGGCGTGCGTGCGCTATGGCGGGGAGAGGGGAGGTGAGGGCGCACCTGTCAGCATGCCGGTCTCGACGATGAGCCGGACGAGCTTCGTCACGATCGCGTGCGTCTCTGGGACCTTGGTGTCCTTCCTCAGAAGCTGGAGCGCGCGTCAGGGCGTCGGCGGATGCATGTGTGGAGGGCACCATAGGCGAGCTTACGAGATACGTCATGCATGCTGCGATGATCACATCGCAAGTTGCGCTACCAGCGAGCCATATCTGAGATATGGCGCACATTCGTTTAGTGCTCGTTCCGATGGCTAGAGATGTGGGAGGTGGCGCACCGTGCAGCTAGCAAATGCTTTGGTTGCTAGGTCCGCAAAATTTCCGATCTTGAATGCTTGAGCACCCTGAGCAATCGCAGAGGCACCTTGAAGCAGTGCAATCTAAAGCAATTTGAGCATCAGGCTATCAAAGAGTCGTAATCCTGGGACATACCAAAGAGATGCCTATGCCAAGCAACCTTGAACCCGAAAGAATGGTAACGCGATAGGCATAGTACATCTGCACTGTTGCACTTACTATTGATTTGGATAAGACATGCAGTAACAAGCTCGACGAAAGTTGAACTGACCAATGCCACTGAAGATGGGAACTGCCAGCCACTCCAACTGCGCCGACCCGAGTGCAGTCAGGTCCCCATAGCCTTTCGCATACGCATTGAAGGCGTCGTGAGTCACAAGGATTGTCTGTGTTGTCTCGATGAGGTAAACTCCGTAGACAAGCGTCTTGACTATGCGACTATCGTTCGGGAACGCAAGGTGGTACAAATCTGTCACGAGACACGGCCACTGTTGATTCAGCATTGCAGATTCGGCAAGTGTCCCTAACACTCACAAACTTGCACAGACAGGACACCGTACAAGCCCCAGTTGAGGAGGTATCCTATGAGCTGTTGAAAACGCTGTGAGCCGGAGTCGCAATGCGGCAATCTAATGCTTACCAACGGGCCGGCGCTGTCAGACGGCGACTTAGTGAAGATAGCCTGGGACGAACAGCGAGGCGACTTACAGGGGAGCCATGTCCGCCGGAAGGGTCTCTGTTACAGTCGACATTGTAGACGACTCTGCTGTTCAGCGATGCACGCCTGGATGTGCCGGGGGCTGGAGTGGAGGGCGTAATTGGCGTCTGGCTGCGTCTTATGCGAATCCCGCCGGAGGCGTCTGAAGCTTCTGAACCTGATCTCGCTGATTCCCCGGGCTGTTAAACCGGCGACGATTTGCAGTCCGATGCAAGAAGAAACAGTTGCGGCGGGTCGACGGGGCCTGGGAACATGACGCCCCAGAGAGGCAGTCCGCCGTTACGGCAAGGAGTGCAGTTGATATCATGTCCTCAATCATGACGTGAACGAGCTACGAGCTCTGCGAACAATGCATGGGCCGTGAGACTTACGTTGCGTTCTTTCCTTCCATGGGAGCGTAACTTTGCCATACCGTTCCTGATGGACACCACGCTCCCCCATTGGTTGACTCAAAGCCGTCGTACTCCACATCTTGCAATGCGATGCTAGTGCCGGATTTCCTGGTGGCTGAAGCGACTTCCCCACCGGCGCGTTTACCCTATAGCGCATCCTCGGGCGATACGCCCGCTATGTGCGATCATACCATGGGGCCGGGACCACCCCAAACCCTTGACATTAGCGCAGACTTCTCCCTACTTTGTTGCGTCTGCGATGGCTTGTCGACATGCACAAAGGGCAATTTGAAGGGTAAATCAAGACGATCGGTCGCCACCACGCCCGGCGCTCTCCGAATCCCTTGTGGCGGAGCGGCCATTCGCACGCTGTCGCTGCTGGCTGACAACCTTCTCCACACCTGCTCTTTGGTTGCCACAAAGCCGCCTCTTCCATCTAGCTATCACGAGTTACTCTCCCTTCGTTGGCCCCTGAGCATCTGTTGGGGGACGCCTCGTTGCTGAGAGAGCGCGGATCCTCTGTGACCGCTTTCCAACACGAACCTTCGCTCCACATCATCAGAGAAACTTTGCGCAAGCACACTACCCAATCAGCAATGTCCTTCCTAAAAATGAACCCCGGAGAGTCATCCAATTGCTTCCGGCACCATGCGGCTTCCATTGCATTCGAGAATCTGGGGTCCGCCTATATTTACGCCTGCCCTTCCCCCCAAGGCATCCGTTCATCAACATGCACACGCCTCTGATGTTCGGGCAGATGGCACAGTAACCCCCACGGAGCTTTGTCCCATCGATAAATTTTCTGATAGACTTCACCGATCCCGCACAGCAGCCCGTACAACGACGCCAGCCCCGGACCTGTGCGAGTTAAGCGTGCTCGCGCCGTTCCCACCCACGCCGCGAGCTTCTTCTGCGTCTTCAGCACGAGCGTCGCGCACGCTCTCGGCGCGACCATGTGGCCTTCGGCATGCCCATCAGCCGCGCCAGGTGTGGCCTCTGCATCGAAGCGCCTCCCGCAAGGTTTCTCAACGCTCCGTGCGCACCGAGGCGCAGGCTGCCTTGGCAAATCACACCGGGCCTCGTCCGCCGCAAGAACAAGAAAAAAAGGCATCGACGAGCTTCTCCGCGCTAGGACGATGCGAAGAGACCGGAACGCGCAGACCACGACGACCAAGTTGATCGCTCCGGCGACATCGCGGACGCCCGTTGCCCAGCCTAACACGTCCGCGCCGACAGAGCTTGTCTGGGAATCGGCCGTATATGAGACGACGGGCCCGACGGAATCCGCCGGGAGCGCGTCTTGCGCGCCCGTCACTCGTTCCGCGTCGTGGGCACCCTCGTCCCGAGGGCTGTGCAACAGTCATCTCCATAGGGTCCCCGACGCGGCTGTCAGGTGTGCTCTGCCGTGGCGTGGTCGTGCATCGCGGGATCCGCCTTCGCAACACAGCCTTTTGTGGCGATGCTGACGAACGCAAATGAAAAGCAAACCGTCGCCTATCCGGCTTGTAGTACTTCGCTGCCAAACGGCGCCACACATGCCAGCTCCGCACCTAGCTCTGGAACCCATATACCTCGAAGCAGAAGGCGGAAGGGGCGGAAGGTATGATAAAGTACATCACTTGAATGTCAAAGCGATACGCACCTTGTGGGCTTGAGGCGCGGCGCGATGGGGTGTATTGCAACCCCATTGACCGCGGAGCGCTGGGGAATGCGGACGTCAGGAGCCGCACTGTTGCGAACGCACCAATCTTGACAAATGCGCAACCGACAAGAGTGCCGAGATGAGGAGCTTGCGACCTGAGCATCAAAGAAAGGCGATATGCATGCTGAATGAGCTTCAAAGATGCCGCCTCAGCTGGGCAGGGGTGCGGTCTAGCTCAGTCGTGTATACACGTCAGTCCAGGAACGGTAGTGCGCACGAAGTCGTAGATCTGGTGCTTTTTCGAGTATCAGATCCGTGGGTTTGACGGCGTCATGTAGCCCAAGCATGTCTATCTCCAAGGTGAACTCAGAAGAGGCGAGCAGTGTGGGTGATGATGAACAGTTCTTCTGCCAATTGATCCACGGTCAGTTCCGGAATGCGGGGACTTGAGAACGGAGAACCGTGGGTTCTCAAGGCCCTATAATCGCAACAACGAAAGCTTCTTCATACACAGCAATATCTCCTGGGCCTTGCGTGATGCAGTCACCAGAGTCGCCTTCCAGCTACAGCGCAACGAACACTGATTAATTGGCCACTTGCAATTTATAGACAGAGGAAGTACGTACTCAATGTCTGTAACGAGGTACTCCAAAGACGTTTCGTGATAAGCTGCGGAGGTGAAGCATGAGCTATGACGGCGTCGCGTGAGTCTTTCTCATCCAGCGAAGACGACACCTTCTGCCAACGGGAGTTCCGGGATGAGCAAGCACATTGGTCAGAGTCATGCTTGTTACTTCAAGCAAAAAGCACAGCGTTCGTTCGCAAAGGCTGAATGCAGAAATCTTGCCTCATGAGTACCCTTTGTCGGATGAATTTCAAGAGGTCTGAGGCACTTGAAATTTGAAGGCTACGCCAGTCGGGTTAACGGAAGTGGGGGTTAGGGTTAGTACTTCTAATAAGGAAATACCGCGATTCCCCTGAGAAGCGCCCGCCTGTTGGGCTCATCGGATCGCTCTCGTCGCTCATTCTCGACTCTAAGACACCCGTCCCTCAGAGGTTGGCGACAGCCGCACGGGCACCGTGTCTCTCACCGTGCCCATCAGAATTAAACCCGAAAATACTGTTCCGCCTGTCCGACGCTTGTGACACAGTGAGTAACATTGAGGCATTTACGGATCTCTTTGCCAACCGTTACGAGGCAGGTCGACCACAGATTCTAGTGTTAGCGTGCTGATACTATAACACACACACTGAATCTGTTTCCATCTTCGACATAGACGTCCCAGGCGCGTGTTTACCACTCACAAGTTAGGATGAAAGACTGAAAGGTACGGTTCAGGCTACATGGGTCATACCATCGCTAATCCCAATCTCAAGTGATCATTCTCCTCCATACTCTGGAAGTGCACAAACGATTTTTCCATGCTGCAGCTAGGAGAATGCGGTTTGAGTGGCCCATGCATTGTAAGTTCTCTAACAAGTCGAGAATATCTTGCATGAGTAAACGAAACCCGAGCAGAGTTGCGAGCACGCGCACCGTCTGGCGGAGTCATTAACTTACATCGAGCCTACGCCGGGGCCCGGTGTGGGGAGGCATGTGAAGAGTAGTCTTCCAGTTGTGAGTGGCTTTATTTCCGCGATTATTTTGAAACGTATGAGCTAATGACAGCTTTCGTCAGATTTATTTCTCGACTGTTAATGTTGTACGTGTATCAGCGCCACAATAAATAACAGAACGTATCCGCAAAACTGTCGTCGAGGACGTGCTGCCGCTTGGGCTCGTTGCTCGCCAGGGTTTCCCGTCTATATCAACTAGAGGTGTATGGCCATTTACAATACCTCGTGAACATGCACGCCACCGAGCAGCGCGGCGTGAGTCGCGAAAGGGTCGTATCGAATTATGCCCGCGACGCCGGGCTGACTCTTCGCCAGCATTGAGTTGGATCCGTTTCCGGCCAGCTCGGAGGCGCGTAAGCGCCCGTCGACAATGCGGATGCGGCTGTTGAAGAGCACGAGCAGCGAGTTCGAGTACAGCTTCGCGAGTGTCAGTGCAATGCAGCCGTGATATGCTCTGTGCGGGAACGCGAGGAAAAGGACCAGGTCGATCGTCGCCGCGAGGGCTGGCGCACGGGCGCAAAAATGATGTTAGTGTTGGTGGGTTAGGTGCTGTGGACAGAGGAGGAATGGACTACTGGTACAGGTCACAAATTGTCACTCTTGTCACATTAGTCACGGTGTAGCCGCTGTCCTGGACCACCTCCGTCTTGTGTCCTTCGCCTTGACTTCAGTTTTCGTCTTTTCACCTTGTAGCTTTGCACTGAGGTGTTTCATATGTTGTAGTAATATAATGCGATTTCTTTGGTATTTATATGCGAGGAATATACGAAGGGGAAGCGAATGTTGATCAGGTGTCCCGAGGAGTGGTCCTATACTGTATCCGTGAACAATTATTGAGGACGCATTGCCGCTCGAATTTGTTGCTTGTCAGAGTTCTCCATCTGTATCGACTAAAATTGTACATTTATTCACAATTCCTCGTGGATATGCACGCCGCCAAGCGGCGCCGCGTAAGTCGCGAAAGGGTTGGACCGACTCATGCTCGCGACACCGAGCTGACCCTTCACCACCATTGAGTTATTCCCGTCTCCGACCAGCTCAGAAGCTTGAGCGCGTCCGCCGACAATGCGGATGCGGCTGTTGAAGAGCACGAGTAGTGAGTTCGAGTATAGCTTCGCGAGTGTCAATGCGACGCAGCCGTGGTATGTTTTATGCGGGAACGCGAGGAAAAGGACCAGATCTACCGTTGCCGCGAGGGCTGGCGCGCAGGGTGAAAAAAAGATATCAGCGTTCGTAACTTCTTGAATAGGTGCTGCGAAGAAGAGAGTGCGCACCTGTCAGCATGCCCGTCCCGACGACGAGCCGGACAAGCCTTGTTATGAGGGCGTGCATTTCGGGGTTCATAATGTCATGTCTCAGAAGCTGCCGAGCATCAGCATGAGTACGCATGTTGGTGCCGACGCGGAGAACAAAGTACAAAAAGCGTCATGCATCCGGCGATGATAACGTCGCAAACTGCAGTAGCAGCGAGCCATATCTGTAATGCGACAGTATAAGCACAGTTGCTCTGACGGCCGGAGACGGAGCGGACGGCGTACGACGCAGCTGATAAATGCTGTAGAAGTGGCAAGATTCGCAATACTACCAATGGTGAGTGCTTGAGTACCCTGAGCAATTGCAGAGGAGCCCTGAAGTAGTGCAATCTGAAGTACCTTGAGCATCAAGCTACCAAGATATTATCTTTTTTGAGACTTACTACAGAGATGGCTAGGCCGAGTATTCTTGAGCCTGAGACAATGCTGACACGGTAAGCGTAGTGTATCTGCACCATCGCACTCACTATCATCTAGAATGAGCATGTGGCGGGGGGCTTAGTGAAATATGTTTTACCGATACCACTGAAGATAGGCACTGATATCCAATTAAGCCCTCCCGCGTCTAAGGCCTCCAAGCTCCCGAACCCTGACGCGTACTCATTGAAAGCGTCATAAGTCACAAGTATAGTCTGTACCGTCTCGATGACATAGACACTGTAGACTAGAGTCTTCAATGTCCAGCGATCCCTTGGGAAGGCAATGTAGTACAAGTCTGCCGCGAGACATCGTTAGCTCCGAGTCAGCACTAGGAATTAAAATCATCATCAGCACTCACAGACTTGCAGGGATAGAACACCGAACAGACCCCAGTTAAAGAGATATCCTAGAAGCTGCAAAGTTGACATATAATGTTAAGTCATATCATGACACAGCATGCTCTTGCTCACCATTGGGCCATCGCTGCCAGTAGCGAGTCAGTGGCTGTGACTTAAGGCGACAGCGAAACGACTTGCATAGGAGCTATGTTCACCGGGAGTGTAACAGTTACTTTCGCCATTGTAAAAAGTGCTGACGGCCAGCAGTGTTATCCTAGATGTGCAAAACGGGTGAGCGAATGGGAGGAATGCTCCGAGTCCAAGAGCCCGGGTCTTATACGGCCTTCATCGAGAGTATCAGACGCTTTCATAGCACATACTTGATCTCGCTGATATTTATCCTCAATTATGGGGTCGCCAATGCCTCACTGGATGTAGGAGCGTTTATGGCGATGTGTCCGCTGGTGGCTGGGATCACACGATGGTTTCCTGGGAGGGAAATGATTCGAAGCGGCGGTGAAGGCGCAGCAGGTGCCTCCATTGCGCCGTCGCCACAGCAGCGCCCCCGCGACGATTGTGATATCGAGATGGATGACCGTTCGTTCAGATCGCGTTCGTCTCATATGAGCCAAGCACTAGCCGCTTAGTAAGCACGATCACGGAAGTAAGTTGCCAGTGGTATTTAACGCTAGAACGCCAAGCGCGATTCCGCGCAAGAAGTTCTGCAGTCCTGTAGCACTACTTATATTGCCACATACCCAGCTCCAGAGTCTGGAGTTCTTGCGGCGGAGCGGCAGTGCCGCACGCTCAGCGCCTATCCTTCGGCCCGGGCGTCTTCAGACATCTTTTTAAGAGCACAGATCTCTTGTGGGTACCGCCTCGTCCCAGCAACTTTCGCTTGGATCGGAGGTAACCTGTGCAAACCCAAATATTCAATTACTCCTGCAATCTAGTCTCATGGCGAGCTTCGTCGGACAGCTCACTTTGTTGCCATGCGCTAGCACGTCTTGCGGTCTGTCACAGCGAGACCTCACTCCAAGGCTGAGGCTCCTCACCAGGAGCATCTTGATCTTGCAGATGTGCATATGTGATAGATGGAAAACGTACCATTTTTTTCGTGCAGACGGTCGATGGTCTTCTGCGCCTGGGCGCCTGGGCCACCGCCATTTGACCATCGGAAAGTTCTTGACCGGTGTCACAAATCATTGCCAAGCTCGGCACTCTACAGGACCGGTGGCTTACCGTCACATGTCGCACCCACCGCTGGACTGGCTGTACTGATACAGTACACTCATGATCAAGCTGAGCAGTCTCACAGACGAGCCATTATGGTACGCTCGGATGACGGAACCTACGCCGGACTTCCAAAAATTGAAGCGTGGAAGTAGAGCAGCAGGCTGGAGAAATCGTTCGAAGTAATGGTGAAGGCACGGCCAGTCGAGATGGAGGCAACATTCGGATGGTGTTAATTTTATATGGTTACAGGAGAAAAACTCGCGCTACGCATAAGCAGAGAGAATTGAGAGAGGGTTAAAATGAGGAATAAGAACGCGCCGCCCGCCTTTGGTAACGGTTGACTCCGTGAGGGAGAGATTATTGGCCAATGAGAATGCGTCAGCTGTCTCGAAGATTTGACGCCCGAGGTATCAGAGAGCGCATCCAACTTGAGCCGCGCGCTGGCTGCTCAACATGATCACATATGATGACATAGAGACAAGAAATCTTATCTTAGAAGACTTTCCCCACCCCCAGCTCCGCTTTTAAAATATCCGCGGCCTATGCACATTTCAGTCTTCCACAGCACAAGGGTAAATAAGGTTGGTTACACACCTTCTCGCCGATGGCGTACGCCACAGACTGAGTATGGCAGACAAACTCCTGCAGGCTTAATCAGCACGGGCTTCGCGCTAGATGTCGATAGCACGGCAACTCACCATTGGTAATACAGAGAGATCCACCTGAAGAAAGAGAAAGCAACGTGAGGCAGATACAGTGCTAGTAGGAAGCCCACTTACGATGCGTAAGTTGGTCGTCCCATGCACCTTCAAGCGCGAGTCCACAACTCCCCCATCCTCGCGCGGCATCATCGCTGCAGTGCCCACAGGATGGTACACCTGCCTGCAGTTCTCCCTGATATACTCCACCAGTCCCTCCGTCCCCTTCTCGAGCTTCTCCTTGGATGGCATGACTGGTGCACACACGATGCGGCTCAGGGGCTCGCTCGCGTATACCTTAAGCCCGTACTGCAGCACACGCACGAGGAGCGCTAAGTCGGCATCGTTACTGAAGTAGTTCGGATCGATACGTGGCGGTGCTAGCGGGTCACCCGACGTGATGTGCACGCTTCCGCGCGAGAGCGGCCGAGAGAGCGCGCATACAAGCGACATGTAGCGCTTCCCCGGCTCTGCCGGCGGCGCGGTCGGCATGCGCTGGCGGCCGGTGTACATGAGCAGTCTGCGAGATGCAAGTTGAATATGTGACGCAGCAGGTGAAGAAAGGGGACGCACTCGGCTTGAGCCTGCTCCTTGTCGGCAAAGAGTTTTCTGTGGATTGCATATTGCTTCTCGAGGCCCGAGCGCAGCGCGGGCTGCACTTTCGCCAATGCATCAGTGCACTCCGCATACGCATGTGCCTGCCAGCTCGCGATGTCTTCTGGAGATCCTAGAGCGTCTGCGGAGAGGAATGCGAACGCCAGCGCAGGTATGGTGGCATATAAGCCCTGTTGCCGTTTGCTGCGTTCCGCCGTTAAATGAGATAACAGTGCCAGGAGAGGCGCAACTTACTATAGTTCTTCTTGCTCCTTAGCAAAAACAGGGTCGGCAAGGTCATCCGCAGTTCGCTCGTCGGTCTCGATCTCAACAATGGTGGTCATTCCAACGTGATCCTCTAGAACTTATTGAAAACCAGAGTAACAGAGCGCTGGTTGATAGCTTACGAAGGTTTTCTCCCACGCCAGGCAAATCGATTTTGACTTCGATACCGTGCTGCTTGAGTATTTCCGAGTTTCCAATACCAGACAGCTCCAGGAGCTGTGGCGTTTGATAGGAACCTAACAGAGAGTTCAGACCTCTATGCGACACAGAGAATAACGATGGTTAGCACCTGCAGCAAGTACAATGTCCTTTCGGACATTGTCGAGGTGCAGGACGATGCCGTCCTTGACAAACTCGACCCCGATAGCTTTCTGCAAGACGCCTTCTTGACCAAGGATTACCTGAAGGCATTTAAGACACTTTCGATGAGGAAGGCGGTCAGTGACTAACCTTTGTTACATGCGCACCAGTAAGCACTAGCAAGTTCTCGCGGTCCAAGTTTGGCTCTAGGTACGCCGACGCGGCATGGGATCGCTTCGCCGTAGTTGCGTCGACAGATATCAAGGACATCATAGACCCGTCATTCCTCCCGTTTCCCTGCTTGCGAATGTAAGCTGCTGAACGAGGTATGCATGAGATCACGAACCGTATCTGGATTCCGCGGAACGCCTAAATTCTGCAACGTATCATACAGGGTCGCGTGCAGCTCGTAGAACGTTGTACCAAATGATGTTTTGATTGGCCCTACGTGAAATGCTCATCAGGCGGTGCATGACGCAAGGGCGCGTGTCGCGCACCGTCACTGCCGTGGAACTTGGAGTCCGGGTCCGCTGCGTACTTTGCGGCATCTGATGGCGAGAGATCCTTGCGCTGAAGGGTTTCGCTCTGCAAAAAATGAGTCTAATCAGAGAACGAATCATTACCGGCCAGATGACAGTACCTTCTTCAGGTAATGAAGCATCGATTCCCAGTTCCAGCCTTCAGCGCCTAACTCTTGCAGAGCGTTCGCTTCCGCCTTGGAGGGACGGAACATTCCCAAGAAATTAATCTGTGAAGTCGGTTAGAAAACGACCCACAGCTTGCAGTTGTGGAATCTGCTTACCAGAGACGATCCGCCAAGGCCTTTTCCGCGGGGCTGCGGGACGGTCCTGTTGTTTGCGCGGGGTTGGGGGACGCAAGTAAAGGCCCAATCGTATTTAGGGATGCCTATGGCGCGACCTATATAGCCTAAGACACACAATCTCTGAGTGAGACTCAAGCTACTAAAGAGTCTGGGCAACTAACCAGGAACATCGATCTCGGGCGCAGATGCGTGATGCTCTCCTGCCTCGAGCACTGCCACAACAATATTCGAGTTCTCTGTCAGTCTGTACAAAGTTAAACACATCTTGACTCGCAGCGTGCATCCTCACCGAGCTGCGAGGGTCAAACCAGCCGTCCCACCGCCGACGATAATGTAGTCGAGCCTACGTGAGGCTAGCTGTCCGTATGTTACCACTGGCATCTTGATGGTTCTCTTCAAAGATTGCGAGTGGTTCGACAGTCACCTGGAGGGCCCGTATCAAGTCCTTGTATCGAGTATGACGTCTGTAAGTGCCTTCTCAGTTCGCACGATCAAGTAAAAGATGCACGGCCAGAACGGCAATATGCGGGCTTCATCGGATCGCACGGCATACCCACAATCTCGCACACTTCAGCTCTGCTACTGTACCGGAGAATTTCGCCTCAAGTCTTTGAGAAGATCGTTCAGAAGGTGCATAGTACAGCCTCGAACATCCGGGCGAATTTCATCCTCGGCCTCCTTCATAGTCATGAATAGAAAAAAAAATACAGCGTACCAATATCTTTGCTCTGCATTGCGGCTTTCTGGAAGCTCATCTCTCGCCCAGGTTTGCGGGCATGAGCCGAATGGTTCGTAAGTGGCATGAGAGCCGAACTTGAAGCAAAAAATCATTCGCCCAAGCATTAGCGCCAATCAATTGATCCGCCTCAGTGTCGGGAATGCTCGGGACGCTACATGCAAATGCTTCACTCTCCTTTTGACCACCTCCTACGTAGAGCTTCTTAGAACGACCATACAAGCTATGTACTGGCGCCACTCTCAATGTCAATAGCAAGTTATTACCTCCCTTGTTGGCATGCCCTTGTCGGAACGCTCGCAGGCCGTATGTGTTCGTTGCCGGACTAGTACTTAGCCGCTATAGCTCGGGATTCATGAGCAGGCAGGCAAGTGGTGGGTTTAATAACACATAAAGCATAGACTAACCGCGTTAGCTATGGCCACTCAGATATTTACAGGGTGCCTCTGTTTCGGAGGCACCACCTGCTATGGAATACGGCCCCCCGGTAGGGTCCAACAGGTACAGCCGATGGAAATTTACAAGGGCATCTGGTAACTATCATGTACGTTATATGATTCTACCCACGAAGTGCGGGCTAACCCATCCTGGACAGCGCGGTTAGCTTCCCAGTCCGAGGCAAGACCGGAGTTATGAGCGCTGCAGTCAGAACCCAACTTCCGGATCAGTAGGCGCAGCGTCTGTCGGTTTGCACGGAATATCATCCCCTGTGACCTTCTAGCTCTTAGAAGTAGCTACAAGCTGTCTAGACCGAAGTATTGAATTACTTGAGCGTATTGGTGGGTCAATTCCGTGCCAAACAGATCGCTAGAATTGACCGTAAACAAGCAGATCTGAAAGACGACTTGGATTGGCTGTTCGCTATACCAGGTTCTCGCTCTCCAAATCACGCTGAAGTTGCTGCTTCGTGTTTCGAATGCCACGGTGAATATCAATGGTTATAGTAACGGTACCAGCCGACGTAGCCACAATGTAAGATACACCATGTGCGTCGGACCTCTTCTTTGCTCACCCGGCTTCCGTAGAGCTGCTCCGGTGGTATAATTTTTCAAACAGTTCATAGCCTGAATTTTCAACCCTCTTATCTAGCTCCTTGGCGCACTCTTCAACTGGGGTCTGTACGGCGCGCTAGCCGTACAAGTTTGTGAGTCTCAGTTTCCTGTCATTTCCATAGCGCTGCCGCCTATGCCGATTCCTCTAGATATCTACCATCTTTCCTTTCCCAACGACGGATGGGTCGCACAGAGTCTAGTGTACGGCGTGTTCGCCGTCGACACGGTTCAGACGATACTCGTGACGAACGACGTGTTCAACGCCTATACGAGGCACTTCGGGCAGATCGAAATCCTTGTAGACATCCAAACCGAGTGGCTTGCGGTGCCCATCTTCAGTGGAATTGGTATGCTGCTCCTTCGCAGTTCGTCTTCTCATTTTGACACGTCTCGCGCAGTGAGCTGCGCAGTCCAGATGCATTATGCACGCCGAATCGGCATCCTATCCCGCTCCCGAGTGCTACAACTCCTCATATCTGCGGTGAGAGAGGTGAAGGTATATGGACCTACTCTACCTGACAATCGAGTTTTCCAGCTTGCCCTGACTCAAGGCGTGGCTGCAATCGTGACGGGTGTGCAGGCAAAAATAGCCGGGAGCTTCATCGACTTGCAAGAGGAAGCAGTCGTCAGCACCGGGGTACGCTTCCTTTTCACCTCTCGTCCTCTTGAGCACCCACTTCATCTTTCCCTGCGACAGATCTGGCTCGCGGGCAGTGCACTCTGCGACATCATCATTGCCTCTCTGATGGCTTACTTGGTAAGCGCAGAGCCGTCCCACGTAATAGTCTGGCGCTGGTTGATGTCCGTTGTACATCTCCAGCTGCTGCGTCACAACATCAAGGGGACAGACACGCGTGCGATCATCAACAGGCTCGTTCGGCTTATTATCGAGACCGGCACGCTGACAGGTGCGCTTTCTCTCCTCTCTAATAGATGTCCTTCGCGCTAATTCTAGGAGCCTCTAGCTGTCGCCGCGACCATCGATATCATCGTCTACTTTGCGCTGCGGAACGACGACTATCATAGCTGCATTGCAACGATTCTTGCGAAGCTCTACTCTAATGCGCTCCTCGTTCTCTTCAACAGCCGCATTCGCATTGTCGGCGGGCGTGCCGGCGTGTTTGCTAGCACGTCCGCAGCTGGCCGGAACGATCGCACGCGGTCGACAGGGCGCTTCACGACTAACGAGGACATGGGATTTTATGTGCCTTCTTCGGAGGGGACGACTGCCGATACCGATTCTGACGTTTTGTTTAGCCGCGATCATGTGCACGACGTAGGCCGGCCTAGAGTGGTCGTTTTGGAGGAGCGGCAGGTGAGTCGGCTTGTCACCGGCCTACCCAGCGACTTCTCAACGGATCTTACTCTTCGCTCTACTAGGTACCCTCACAAAAGGCGTCCGTCAACGACTATCTTTATCCTATGGAAGAATGTAGATAACAGTGATTGAAGCCCTCTGCGCTTAGTTCGACTTTGCTGATGCGATCGCGGAGATATATCTTTCTACTTGTGGTGCCATCGCACTCCTTCTCACATTCACTACGTAAGTATGCGCGAACGACTTTGCTATACGTGACCATAGATCGGAAAGATGGCTCCGCATGCACAGTTTTCCCCGGTTTTTGTGCACAGAGAGCTTATTTGACGAGGCAAGAATACTAGGTGGTCTCCATCGTCGGCGGGTGTGGCGACACATCATGAAAGGCATGCAGTCGTTTCACTAAGTAGACTCGGGCAAGAGCTACCATGTATTCCTGTGTAGCTCTATCTGGCTCTGAATAGCTCCATTAGCCTTGTTTTCTACGATTTCGCTGCCATTATGAACCCCTTAGCCCTCCAGAATCGTACCCACGAGCGCGCGTGTTCCTCAGACATAGGCTGAAGCTCTCGCATAGTAGGGCTAGATCGCCGGAGGTCCGCGGTGTCAAACGCGCTGCTGACTGGTCCCTCAACGTCCGGGACGCCCTCAACTAGTCCGCGATTCGCAGAGTCCAGGCTGCGGAAGAAACCCAAGATCTTAAGCGCAGGCTAGTAGGACAATCATGAGTTCATAGCTCCAATATGGCGAACAGGACTTACGAGGCTCTCAAGGTCCTGAAGTGTTGCGTTGTCCGCGTGCAATTCCAGCCCAGCGAGCCACTCTGCGTATGGGGTGGTGGGCAGGTCGCTTCCAAGCGCCTCGCGTATGCCCTTCAAGACGACGTCCCACGACGTAGGTTGCGGATGGACAACGTTCACTAGTGCGGGCAGGAGTGCTTCGTCTAGGATCCAGTCGACATATGCGCCTCCAATCGCGTCTAGCGGGACCCATGAGACGGGCTGATGGCATGGTCAGCATGGAAGGGAGATCTGAAGGGCGGACATACCCCAGACGTGGCGGGCAGACGCCCAAGTGTGATACTCGACTTCACCATGATCGGGAACCACTCGGTCGTGCCCCACGCGCCAGTATCTTTAGGCCCGCACGCCTGGCCCATCCGCACAATTGTTGCCGCCAGGCCGCGCTCCCTGGCTGCCTGCAGTATCTGTGGTGCATTCTCAGTGGGTATATCATCGTGCCCGATAAATATGGCCGCCTACCTTCTCGACCACGTATTTCGACGCGGCATACCCGCTGCAGGCACCAAAGTTCAGCTCGGGAAGGGGCTGCTCCGGAACGGGGCCTTTGCTGCTGTCCCAGCCGCGCGCAACGCCGACGGACGACGTCATGAGGAGCTTCACGCGGTGATCCAAAGATGCGCATATATCGACCAGCCTGCGAACGCCGGCGATGTGGTTCTCGAACGTCTCGACGGAAAGGTTGAAGTTGACCATCCAGGCATTGTGAATGATATGCGTGATGGACCGCATAACCTATAAATATCGCATCAGACGCCGCCCGCAGAGCTCACACGCAACGTACCTCACGGTACACCTGCTCGTCGAGCCCAAAGTGGTCGCGGGACACTTCGCCTTCTATGCAGATCAGCCTTGGGTCCTCGAGCAGCTTAGCGGGTAGGCCGCGGTCGGTGAAGGCGGTCTTCAAGCGAGTCGCGGCGTCAATTTCAGAAGGTCTGTTGAGCGCATACACCCTCTGTATCCGGCTCTCCGACAGGAGGCGGGCAAGAATGTGCGAGCCTATGTTTCCTGTTGACCCAGTCAGCAAGACCACGGGCATACCGGCCTCTGGTGTTGCATTGGAGATCTTCGCCGGAGGTATGTCCGCGGTGTATCTTGCAATGAGAGCCTCGACCTCTACTTTCAGCCTATCAACTGTCGATGTGTGGCCGTTGATAGTGGCAGGAACCACGAACAAAGCTAAGGTGGCGGCGAGGTCGTTGATTGCAGGGTGCTCGAAGATGAAGTTCGAGGACACGTTCTTCAGCGCAGCTTGCATAATGGGGTCGTCAGACGAGTGTAGAGCACCGATGATACGATTGCGAAGGAACGTCGCGCTTAAACTAAGGTTTACGAGGGCGAGCTTAAGCTGAAAGAAGGGAAGCTGCAAGATAATACTCACCTATCAAAACCCTGATGAAAGAGGTTCGTGGCGGGGTCTATGGTTTGCGTGGAAGCTACAGAGCTTGCACACTTGAGTAGCCAGGGCACAAGCACCTCCTCGTTCCAGCTCTTGGGTGGAGGGATGCTTTCGTCGTTCCTACTTTGCTCGATAGTCGAGTACCTTTGCACAATTAAGTGCATGACAGGCGATGAAAGACGAGTGCTCCTTACAGGTTATCTATCTCCTTCACATACAGTGACGTAGCTTGCTTTCGGATGATCGTATTCTTCGCAGATCGGGGCAACGCCCGTGCCGAGTCCGTGACAATGATCATTTCCTTGAACACCCTTGCAAATGCCGGAGCTCGCGCATTGGCTTCGTCCACGACTGGCCTGCGTTATGATTCAGGGACACTGCCCTCGAGATATAGATGCAACGTACCAAATCTTATTGCGAAATTCTGCGAGAGCGGCGCTGTCAGCCGGGTCAATGGCGTGGCTTGCGCTTGGCTCCACTAGGATGCCGGCCTGCTCACGCTCGCGGCCAAACATGACACACCCCGAGACGAGCGGACTCGAGATGATGTGTCCTTCCTGAGCTAGGGGGACGATTTTTTCGCCTGAGAAACAGTAAGTTCGCATGGATCGTGTTTGAGCGAATATCACTTACCGGTGCTTAGAGTGATGACGTCATCTTTACGACCAACGCTAGGAACATTACAATAAGATAACTTGTCCTAACTGCCATTATACTTGTATCGCTCACATCCGCCACAAGTCAGGCCTAGTCGGATGTCGCTCGAACAGATCGGCAGTCGCATACCCACTTTTACCAGGGATGTTGCCAACCCTGACCTTGAACTCGTCCGTATCCTAATTTCGCGTTTCTGCATAACTCCGAGAATTCGAACAAGGTGACCACGCACATATACGATCAGCTCATATGTCTCGTCACCCTGGGGTTCCATCTGTATATCGGGGACCTTCGAGAAGCGAAACCAGCTCCAGTCGAGCGAGTAACGCAGATCCGACGGCGGCACTTCGTCCCAGGACAGCAATGGGTTCCCGAACTCGGAGCCTCCGAATCCCGCGTAGAGTGGCACGCCAGCGGAGACCATCTTGTCGCCGATAGTGACCGAGAGAGGACCGCCACCATAAATCTGGCAGCACGTCAGCTTCGCCGGAGGATGTCATGGACGATGGGCATACCAGGACTTCAAGCGTCTGGAGGTAGTCGACCGTCTCAGGCGAGTGTGACCAAGTCTAGCCATTCTCACTTTATCAATGCGGTGATGTAGCTCAGAGATATGGACACACCTCAATAAATGAAGGCGTTGCGATGAGCCCTTCGCATTTGGCAAGCTTGCAGACATCTAGGATTGAAGCGGGGCTGGGCACAACTGGCGGCTTGGGATACTGGGGCGCATATACCGCCACGGGCTTCAAGCTACACAGTGGGAAGAAAATTTGCAGTAGCATACCCATAGAGTGGAACGTCGGCAACGCCATTCCGCCAAACCGAAGCTTGCGGCGGCCAGATCCGAATATATCTAGAAGTCCTCTTGAGTGAAGAGGATCGAACTGTCAGCTGAGGAAACCTTACTGCGTCGCAGGCTCTGAACTACCTGAATATGTTTGAATGGTACGGCCTTCGGGAGTCCAGTCGAGCCGGACGAGTGCAAATATACCAGAGGATCATCTAGAGAAACGGGCTTCCTACTTGCCGGATACGGTTCAAAGGAAGTAGCGTTCGCCAACACCCCTTGCGTAAGATCCGTCAGTACGACGTGCAGCATGGCAAGCTCCTCGAGCTGAAGCGTGATGCCCTTCTCGGTCACCGCTTCATTTACTTGCGTGATCAACGATGTCATTGGGGGATTAAACAGAACGCGGCGGCAGGCAGTGGCTTGCAACAAGTGGCAGATGCCCTGAGGGGAGTTCCGCGGAGATATGGGGAAAGGCTATCAAACTCTGACATTAATTGCGTGTACGTAGGCCAGAGTCCACGATACGCACGACAAACCCAGCCCTCAGTATACCCAGCATGACTGCAACATACACGACGTTGTCGGTGTGTAGAACGATGGCAAATACCTCGTTGTCAAGCTCTTGTTTGCCAGGACGCAGTTCTGAGGCAATTCGATGCGTGGCTACTGCCATTTCCTTGAACGTTACGGCCGCAAGCCCTCCATCCGATTTCGGAGAAGGATATACCAGCCATGGCCTGTCGGGGTTGTGCTCGGCATGAAAGTCGACAAAGTCGAGCAAAGTGAGAAGGGTGCCGTCTAGAGGAGCGGGCAGTGGTTCCATCGTGAAAATCGACGTTCACAAAATTCCCTCGCATCGATGGATGCTAGTTATATATCGCGGCCGGCTACCCATCTGAAACATGTCTGAGTCGGTGAGCGGCGGAGCAGCCGATGGAAAGTACTGCTACTGTATAACACTATACCGTCTGTTTTCTGGCTCCGAGATGAGACAGAAGTTGATAGAAAGCTGGCTGGGGTAACAGAAGCACCGTCTGCACGTGCTTAGTAGCTGGTCGCAGATTGTGATACTTACCTACTACACGGACCGAGATTCGGCACTCGGGAGTCGGGACAGCATTGCAAGATCATGAGCACTCTCTGTAGTCATATATCTACGCGTACCGCGTAAAAGGCTCGCTATATTCAAGGTGAGTGTCATGACCATCCGTGGGGCTCTCGATGGAACAGGCGACAAACGAGTCGTAAAAATTCTAATGGACATTACGTCATCTCATAAACGCCGTCTCCAACCCTAACCTTATCACCCGCTTCGCATACGCCTCACACTGGGCCCTAAACTCCCGCGTGAGGACCTCGTCTTCCCTGCAGACTTCTCCCATTAGCAGCATGGGGATCCCCAGTGCCCAGCCGATGCACACCCCGGCGAATATCCAACTCACGGCGATGTCCCAGCCGACGCACTCGCTGGACCAGCTCCCCGGCCCAAGAAATTGTGCAGATAGCGCCAATGTATAACACTAGTGCACCTACGTAGCTCGTATGGCGGACAATGGCGTACGGCCCGGTGGTGATGAGAACGTGCCCCTTCTTGACCGCGAGCTCCCAGGTAAAGTTGGCCCTAGTGCTTGGCAGCGGGACAGGCGAATGCAGCTGCCTATATGCATGAAGAAGCAGCCCACGAGCCATGCTGTGGCGAAGCGGGCGTTCCTGCTGCCGTCAGGGTGTCGCGCCAACAGCGGCAGGCAGGATTTGGCTTGGGAAAAACGCAAGGCAGGACGCAGCAAGGATAACCGCGTTCTCACAAGCCGCGTTCGGCCAATTATACATCGTCTAAGCAGACTCAGTCCTGGTCATCATTGATCACATAAGAGAGCTCACGTTCTGCACCAGGACTGGCCGCCGCATAATCGTCTTCCGTACCATCGTGTCTCCCACGCTTTCGAACTTCTTCATCTCATCTTGGCGCGGGGCGGTGTCGACGAACTCTGCGCGAGTACGGCCAGGTACATCGCAGACCAGAGCAGTGGGATTTTCAGGAGAGGGGAAGCGGAAGCTGTCAAAAACCAGGACATCACGGTGTGAGTATGAGAACAGCAGCTCGACCTTCTCAGGCAGCCCACAAGTAACAGTGGAAGTCATGGGAAACTCGCATGCCCGAAGCAGATCCCGCCAAATTGCGCACATGTCGGAACGACATTGGGATATGCATTGCCAAAAAGGCTCATGCCGACGGTTGCTGGTGCCAATAACCGGATGATGGATAGCTGGCCACTAACCGACAATAAAGTCGAGGAACGTAACTTCTGCCGCACGTGCCTAACAGGTACTTGCTACACATATCGCTAGGTGGTAGGTGCAGTTTTTTTTTGCTTGCATAACCAGCCAAAAGCTAGGCGAACAAGAACCTGTGTTTAACCGGCTTTCATTCGAGAAAACTTGGAGACAAACCTTCTTTTTCCGCTAGTTTCATCGTGTTTCAGCCTCTTTTGGCTGGTCTTGCACCAATTTACACACCATTTTACCCCAATGTACCACCGGGGAACAATTGGTTCTTGTCTTCCCAAATTTGGCCGGGTTTCTTCAAGAACAAAACCGTGCTTACCACCCTGTGTATGCGTTCGGTATCCTGAGTATGTCTAGATATAGAATAGGGCTATGCATGATTAGAGAAACATCACTCAGAATGCAGAAGAGGTGCATTGAGGCATGTTCTGGAGGAGAGGACGCTTTAAGGAGAAGGGTTAAAAGTTATTCTGTGCAGTACCGCCGTCCCCCTGCCGAACGATTGCTGCTGTCAGATTAGCCACCCACGAGCTTGATCCGCAGAAATCGAGAGGCTTCGCCGGCAGCGGATTACCGACGGAGATGACTAGGCTCGAGGACGGAGATACGGGGAACAGCTCGGCTGTTGTTGCAGTCCAACATGAGGCCGACATAAAGCGGGCGAACCCTGCCATGGGCGGTAAACGTTCGATGGCCCGGAATTTCCCGAAACAGTTGTGGCGTATTCCTTTCCGAGACCGGTGCTGCGCTACAGTATCGGTCGTTTCGCCAGCATCACTCTGGAGTTCGGAAGAGGGCGAGTTACGGTACTGATGTCAGACTAGCTGCACATTTCTCTCTCTACACATTTGATGCTACGGCACTCCTGATTCTGTCGGAAAAGCAGCAGAGTTGCGTCATGCACTGCAGAGTACGGTGGACGAAACTCGTCTGATACGCCGAGTTTTAACTGTTCCAATTAAACCGTAGCATCTGTCGCGGGCATGCAGGTGATATAGTAACACAAGATCTCCATTATGGTTTGCCAAGCAGCTCACAATTGCCACAGAACACTGCCCAGAGATGCTTTCATCCGGTATCTCAAACGCCACGGCCCTGGGAAACTAATCCCCGATCTTCTGCCTTCCTCGGGGCATGCAAATTACATCACTTTGATGCATTGAAAGCATTCGTACGCATATATACATTCTTTCCTCGACGAACAGCCTCCCGTGGGTACGCTCGACTGTGCATGTGAGACTTTTTCCCCCGTACAGCTCATTCATCAGTGGATGTGCTCGAGACATCGTCTCGCTTGCCGCCACAATCTGGGATGCGCAGCCCAGCGCGCTCTACGACGTGTAACAAGTCTCGGCTTCTCAGCCCCATCCCCGTCGTCCTCGAAGACATGGCTCTTAGAAGAGCGCGCGGAGCATCCATGCCAACAGTGTCCATCGCACCAAGGACCCAAGGCTGTGGTACGCTGGCGCACTCCCCCCGTGATGAAACGTGTATATTACAATTGGGCTGAGATGGTTTCATAAGCGCACGCTCTTGCTCGTTCCCTCCCCCTCTCCTGACTGTGCTAATGGCGAGCAATGCGACTGTACCGACAAATTTGGCTCCCGTGTACGCACTGCAATTATTCCCACGTCATACTATTGACTAATCATCACACAGTGCAGGGCCTCTCGTACGTCACGCATAGCTTATAGCTCGTTGTTTTTTCTGAAGCAGAGTAGCTCTTGGGTAGTCTGTTCAACTGGGGACTGTACGGCGTATTGACTGTGCAGGTTTGTGAGTGCTATACAGTTACTGTCCAAGTCTTATAGTCAATCCCAAAAAATGCAGTCCTCTACCACTTGGCGTTTCCTGACGACAGATGGACTGCCAAGAGTCTCGTCTATGGCATATTTCTCCTTGACAGCGCGCAGACGTTCATCGTCACAAGCGACGCGTTCGACACGTACGCGCGGCATTACGGCGATAGCGCTCAGCTCTTGCAGCAGCATAACGAATGGCTCGCAGTGCCAGTATTCAGCAGCATCGGTGCGTTTCTTGCTCCGAAGTATGATGTCTTGACGGTAGATCCTGATGATAAGCTGGCAGTTAGTTGTACTGTGCAGATGTACTACGCGTATCGGATAGGGTTCTTGTCAAAGTCGAGGCTGTTGATGGCGGGAATAAGCCTAGTGCGTCTTTGCTTAGGCGGGTTCTGGACGCTATTGACTCGTGTCTAAATCGTTCAGCTGGCAATCTTGCAAGGCGCCGCCGGTATTGCGACCGGAGTGCAATCGGCCATCATCAGTAGCTTTGAGGAGCTGGAAGCAAGGGCACACTCCGTGACCATCGTATGCTCCATAATTTTTGCCGCACCATTCTGCTGAACCGCGTTCATAGCTGTGGCTAGTAGGCAGCGCGGTCTGTGACGTCGTCATCGCAGCGACCATGGCATACCTCGTGAGTTTCCACGTCGCGCGCTCTCCCGTCGCATGCTGACGCCCCAGCAGCTCCTGCGCGCCAACACCAAGTCCTCCGAGACGCGCGCGATGATCACGCGGCTCGTACAGATCATCATCGAGACCGGCACGCTCACCGCGTTCGCGGCCGTGCTCGTGCTCGTGCTCTACGTCGCGCTTCCCAACCGCGCGTACTACACCGCCGTCGGCGCCGTGCTCGGCAAGCTCTACTCGAACGCACTCCTCGTGCTCTTCAACAGCCGCATGCGCGTCAGCGGATCCCGCGCCCCGCCGTCGACGCACACGCGCGGCCCATCCGACGACGCCACTCGTGTGCACCGTCCCGCCGCGCGACTTGGCGCGAAGGCCCTCGTGAGCTTCGGCCGCAGCACGCCAGAGGCCACCTCTCCCGACCTTGGCGGCGTGCACGTTGAGGAGCAGGTGTGGGTGCACACAGATGACATTGAGATGAAGAATCCGGTGGGTGGCCCCAAGATGACCGGAGGGAGACTTGCATGCCAACTCACGCGTTCTCGACTCATTTCTCGCAGATCTCCGCGCATGTTGACTTTGGGGGGAAGAAGCATGCTGGACTTGCCGAGTCTCCATAAATTATTTTGCCTGTGTATCACTATTCTTGCTGTCCGTAAATTATATACACTACCATGTATAAGAATTATCTGTTGTTGGATACCCGGGAGACATGAAGCTACGACTATTCGACGTATAATCGGACTCTAATAATCTCGGGCATTCCGGCATGTACGCTTGCAACCAGACCCCACGCGATGTTCGCCTAGTGACATCTACGGCAGCTTAAGCTGTCTCCCGCTCCGGTAAGCCCCTCCGCGCCAAAAGTGTCGGGCGAGCTGGCTTGAGATATACTCTGTATCTTGGAGCTTTCATTGCTTGGCTTGCGGACGAGACTCAACATACAAGCGCAGTAAACTATGTGCAAGTACCAGAACTGTCCTCATGTTCAATTGCTCCGTCGTTAGGTTGAGGCCGTACTACTTGCGTTCAGTGCGCTGAAGACGTTCCTCCCGACTGTCGATCCCAATGTCAATGTAACGGTTGTGGTCAAGGAGATTTATCACGATTCTGGAAGCGTATGAGAGTGGTATCGCGACAGACGACGTTCGGCGCCGATGTCGGTGGACACGGTCGCGACAAGCCGTGGAACAGTGGAAAGCAAGCCTGGCGCCGGCGGGACCAAACAGAGCCAAAGCGAAAGGAGCGGCCTCGAGAACGCCGAGAAAGTACCAGTTCGCAGACATCGTCCTCGCTCCGACCTCGCCTCTCTCTCCGTCGCCGCCTGCGGCCTTCATACCCCGCGCGTATCCGCTGTTATCCGGGTGCACTCCTTCGTGGTCCTGCACTCTGACTTTAGCTTCGACACACGACGACATAAACCACCTGTCCTTCCGCTCGTTTAGCACTCTGCACCCAGTTATCGCACCGACCCGCCCTCAATCAACATGCAGTTCGCGATCATCCCCACCGGCCTCCTTTCGCTCCTCCTCGCCTGGTGCCTCCCTGCCGTACAGGGCTGTGAGTTCCCGGTTTTTGTGTCGGAGGAAGAGTGCTCACGCCGGCCACACAGACTTTATCATCACGCAACCCGCTGCAGGGACACAGTGGGCGAACGGTGCCGCGAACCTCGTCACTTGGACAAAAGGTGTCGGTGACGGCATCGATGGCGTGGACATTGAGATGTCGAGAATGAGCGTGGATGGGCTGTTCTTCGTCGCGAAAGATGGTGAGTGGTCGATTTTGCGTGCAAGGAGGGCGGGTGCCTGGGCGGCGTTACTTGGCGTGCCAAGTAACGGCGTGCGGGTGATTAGCAGTCGGTTGGGGTCCTTCCGCCCGGAAGGCCTCATTTTAACGGCTGGCGGGCTGAAATCGCCTGTTTGCGGTAGCCCCGCCTGAAAATCAATCTGGCATTAAGCTCGGATCGCTCGATTGGGCTTGCTGTGGAATTCCAGCAGCCCTTGCCATGATACTTGGGATATGTGCTTTCTTAGTGTCTTTCACCGACCACTGCATGTCAAGTGGAAGATGTGTGGGGCTTTGCACCTATATCCGCCTGCATACCCGCCTTCCTGTCCCGCGTATGCATGTCAAATCACTACTAACGGCATTCTCTCCCTTCAGCACCAACAAAGCCTGGCGCGATCAACATCGTCCTGCAAGACATCCCGCCAGCCAACGACTACTACCTACTCTTCCTCAACTCGACCTCAGGCAACATGTTCGCGACGTCCTCCAAGTTCTCTATTGGCTCGACAACGAATTCGAGCGCGACGACTGCCACCAGCGCTCCGACCGTGACCGTCTCGGGCTCACCAAACCCGACAGCGGTCTTTGCGACAACCTTCCCGCCGAACTCGAACGGCGTCGTTACACCGGGCTGGCGTGCGGTTGAAAATTCGCTTCCGCAACTGTTCGCGCTCGTCGGCACAATAATAATGTGCCTCCTCGGCGGTGCGATGACCCTACTATGATCCCTCCACATGCTCTCCGCCCCTTGAGCATCCTTTATATCCCTTCTTGATTGTACTTGGGCTTAATGGCAGTAAATGATTGGACTCCCCCACCAGACAATTAGGACGTTTCCCTCCCTCCCTAACACATCCACGAGCAGACACACACGCCGGTCAAAACTCAGGTCTCTTCCGCCTCAGTTGATATACCACGCACATATATACATCCTGTATACGACACTGGCGTGTGGTCTGTTATTTATGATACAAATACGTGTAATAGCTCTCTATACCACGGTGTATTGCAGAAACTTTTGACCAACAGCTCACTTTCAGGCCCTCATGTAACAGTAGTCTTAGGCCCTGTTCAGTAACACCCGAGTTTCCAAACTCGCGCGAGTTGATGAACTCAGACTCAAGCGCTTACGTGACTTTAACGTGACCGTTTCGTGACTTTATGTGACAACCGTGAAGCCTCTGCCTTGCTGCGTCGCGCAATTGGGCGACAGCACTTTTGTCGCACTATTCCTCTTTATATGACCCGCAGAATTGCTGCTACTACCCCTCATTCAGCTTCCGGGGGCCTACAAAATGTTCTCAATGGGTATTTGCTGAGGAGCTTGCCTTCCTTGACTTTCTCATTGTTCATCGTGCCAAAACTAGTGATGGTGACTGTTGGAAGGCGGTTACCCTGCAGGAAGCTGTGGAAGCCATTGCTCCGCTACTGGTGAAGGGCAAAGGGAAGGATGTGGAAGCACTCTTTGAAGTAATACTGCCACAATGAAGTACTGACTAGCCTAGGATAACAGCAGTAAAGGCAAGCAGTGGAAAGCTTCGAAGCCAGCACTCTATGCTTCCTCTGTTGCTCAGCAGGAGCCAGAAGGACAGTCCTAGCTCGCCATGACCAGTGTCGAAGGGATACAGCAGTGGCTTGTCCACAGACAATGGTTGTTGTATTGCGTAAGCGTAATTACATGTGCGGGTGACAGTGCGGTGACTGGGCCGACGGCGCCGAAAGTCACGCGAGTTCAGAAACTCGGCGAGTTTCAAAACTCAGGTGTTACTGAACAGGGCCTTACGGGCCTTTATAAACAAGCGGAAGAAAAGAGAAGAAAAGACCAGCGCACCGTTCACGGATATGCTCGCCTGCCCTAAAGTTAACATGTGACTCACCATTATTCACGCGTAGCGGGGTTAACCTCAGCGCGTTGCTCCTCTCCTCGCGACGGAGTCATATAAGTTCCTTTTTTTGTATCATATTTTCCAGGAACTTTCTCATATTACCCTGACGACATCCTCGCTTGACCTGGTGGAATGGACGGGTTTGACGACGCAGAGATCGCACTGTAAGTCTCCATGGAAGTACAGCCATAGGGTGTCCATGACTTTTGTTGCAGAGCGATCGCCCGGAGTCTGCAGGAGGCTTCCGAGCCTGCAAAGAAATCTGAACACGCGGAAGTCATAGAGATCTTGGACGATGAAGAAGAGCCACAGAGCGACAATGCCGACGACGCACAGTTCGACACCGACCTCAAGCGTGCGATGGAAGCCTCGAAGGCAGCAACGCCATATCAGTCCGGCTCGGAACACGCCACGAGGTCGGGCTCGTCGAGCATAGCAGAGGTCGCGCCCCCCGCACCCACCCCGCCTGGCAGCGCGTTCCTGTTCGACCGCGCCCAGATGGAGCGCGAACGCCTCGAGCGGCTGAAGCGGCTGCGACCTGATTTCGCCCAGGCATCCAGCTCTACTCACACGCGAGACGACGAGGATGAAGAGGATGCGCGCGATACGAACCCCCGCAGCGCAAAGAGGCAACGCGTTTCCCCGTCTTCGCATGCTCCGCACACCAACGTCCTTCCCAGCAGCCGCACCGCGTCGCCCGCGTCCGGGACGCGTACGCCAACTAGCGTCGGCAAAAAAGACGACAGCGGCGACGGTCTGTTCTTCGACGGCGAGCTTCGCCAGACCGCGAACAAGCACGTCGACGCCGCCAGAGATACCCGACCAGTGTTCCGACTCACAGACATATTGGCACCTGTGCGTCGGATTGCTATAGTGTGCATGTGGAAATGCTCAGCGCTCGCAGAGAGACGACATCGTGTTCGCGATCGTGTCGGCGTATGTTATCAATCTGCCGTGGTTCTACAGCTTCTTCAACCGCGGGACGCCTGTCGTGATCGTAACTCAAGATCCTGCTGGTGCGCGTATCACAGTGCCGCTCTTGAGACTTTGGCTCACTGTGAGCAGGAAACGAGACTCTCAAAGAAGTCCTTCCAGACTGGATCAAAACAACTCCTTTCCTGCGCAACGGACGGGGATGCCAACACATGAAGGTGACCTTCATTGTCTCCACCAGTTGACCGGCCATGATTTACGGCGTTTGTAGTTGATGCTCGTACGCTTATCTAATCTTCTTTATCTACCATGACTGAATCGCTTGGTAGCTTTTCTACAGGACTAGCCGGCTGCGCATGGTCATCTCTACTGCCAACTTCATCGAGTACGACTGGCGGGACATCGAAAATGTGCGCACTCCCCCTGGCGTCTTCCTGCGGTGGACTAACATGAGGTACTTGCAGAGCGTTTGGTTACAGGACGTCCCGCCACGCCCGTCCCCTATTGCACACGACAGCAAGGCCAACGATTTCCCGATGGCTTTCATGCGTGTTCTGCGTGGAGTGAACGTCGCGCCGGCACTGCTCACTCTTACCAAAAATGGTGTGAGTAGATATCTCTATGTATGCTCTGCGCAAGGCTGATAGCAGGCGCAGCACAGTAATCTGCCACTGAAGCGCATCGAAGAACTGCGCATGAAATGGGACTTTTCAAAGATTAAAGTCGCGTTGATACCGTCGCTCGCAGGCAAGCACGAGGGGTGGCCTAAGGTATTTATCAGTGGTTTCCTGAGCCAGCTATGCTGACCATCCATGTAGGTTATTCAGACAGGCCACACCGCGCTCATGAAAGCCTTGCAAGATATGGGTGCACGCACACCCAAGGGCAAGGAGCTCGTTCTCGAATGCCAAGGCTCGTCAATCGGGACGTACACGACGCAGTGGCTGAACGAGTTTTACGTGACTGCGCGGGGCGAGAGCGCCGAGAGCTGGCTCGACCAGCCTCGCGCCCGTCGCGCGCGGCTGCCGTTTCCGCTTGTAAAGATTCTCTTCCCGACTCGGAAGACGGTGCAGGACAGCGCGCTCGGCGAACCAGGCGGCGGGACGATGTTCTGCAGGCGCGCCCAGTGGCAGGGCGCGAACTTCCCGCGGGAGCTCTTCCATGACTCGAAGAGCAAGCGCGGACGCGTGCTCATGCATTCTAAGGTCCGTGTGTCCCCTACTAGGGTCTTCAAAGCCACTGACGTGTCAGACAGTTGATCCTCGCGACGTTCCGCGATAGCGCCTTTGCTGCATCGAGCAGTGGCAGCAGCAAGAGGCACGATACGCCCTCGACAGATGTGAGCGACGACGAGATCGTCGAGGTCCCGCCGCCACCCGGGAATGAAGACTTCGTCGGTTGGGCGTACGTCGGATCGCATAATTTTACGCCTTCAGCATGGGGCACGTTGAGCGGGTCAGCGTTCAACCCAACGCTCAATGTGAGTGCCAACACGTTTCCGGTGGGACAAAATGCACTGATGCCATGTAGATCACGAACTACGAGCTCGGCGTACTCGTACCACTGCGGTCTGCGGAGGAGGTGGAGCGTGTGGCATGCTGGGAGAGACCACCGCCGAAGTACAACCTGGGAAGGGACGAGCCTTGGGTGAGTCATGCTCCCCTGAAGGGGGCTTGTTGGCACTGATAAGCCTATAGATGCAAGAGGAGAGCGCATTCTTTTCAGAGACGGGCCAGGGTTGATACCATGTCTCATTGCACTCACACAGTCTAGGTATCGTTCTGAGCTGGCAGGCACCGCTTGAACCGTGATGTGAAAGTCAGCCTGCCCATAGCTCGGTAACCAAGGTAGCCACGAGGTTTCGTTGCCACCTTCCTTGTAAGCTCACTGAGACTGAATGTGGTACGCGTCGCAACGCCAACGCAACTCGTCCGATCGAAAGTTTTTCCACCAGGATCGACTCAGTCTCCATGTACCGCGAGCACGAGCCGATTGCCTGGCACGTGAGACTCATGATGCTCAACATTCCCTGTACGCAAATGGCTACTCTTCAAAACCGACTATTGGTCGCGGCTTTGTACCTGGGTCAAGTTTCAGGTGGTCTGAAATCGTCTTGTGCTCGTGATGGTATTCGCCTTTTGCTGAGACATACGGTGTATTGCCCGCCGGTGTGACCTCTTCTCAAGCGTGTTATCACTCCTTTCAAGACGCCGAGTCCCACACGGGTGCGCTTCATCCTTCGAGCACGCAGTGACAAGCTTTTTTTGGCCCAAGCCGTACCTTAGACATGAGAAAGTCTGTCCAATAACGGCGTGTTTCTCGACTAATCATTGGACCTTCGCGTCGTGAGCGTGGGCACGCTCGTCGCGATCCGCGACAGGATCTGACCTTAACACCATCGGATCGACGTGTTAGATGTCTGCGCCATACAGTATCAATCATATAGCCTTAACCGGAGTCAAGTGAACACTGAGTTACAAGCGTGGAGTCGAAATGTGTTCTTCTGTTCTTTCTCGAAACGGTACTATATCTTCCTCTGCCAACTAAATAGAATTCCTTTAGGTGTTTTGATGCTATAAGACCTGTTAGTCATCATGGTTTCCTGCATTTCTTCCCATTCTCTTGGACCATCAGGTCGCACACAGCAGCTATAAGAGTCTCTCGGCGGGACTCCTGCTTGCGTCTGCGGCCATGATATTTCCCATACACGCTCGACAAAATGCACCTACTCCCGCTGACATTCTGCCTATGTACGTCCCTCTTGCTTCTGAGTCTTATCTCGACGCTGTGTTCTCACGAGTAGAAACACCGCAGAGCCGCGCCCTTGGTACGTTTCCACGACTTCATCTCGTGAGAGACCCTTCATAAAGTGCCTCGCAGCTCATAGGCAGCCTATTTAACTGGGGTTTCTATGGCGTGCTGTCAATGCAGGTCTGTAAGTGCTTGGTTTTTATTTTGTGACACCGTAGGTGCGAGACTTACTGCCGCGTAGACATGTATCATCTTGCGTTCCCTAACGACCGCTGGACAGCAAAGGCACTCGTCTATGGGATATATCTCTTGGACACCGCCCAGACGATCCTTGTCACTCTAGACGTCGTGGACATGTACGCAAAGAATTTTGGAGATGTCAGCGGGCTGGACGGTATGCACAACGAGTGGTTAGCCGTTCCTGTCTTCTCGAGCATAGGCGAGTGGTCTGCGCAAGCTGTGGAATCTAGATGCATTATGTTGACACTTCGAACGTTAGTCAGCTGCACCGTTCAACTGTACTATGCCTATCGCATTAGATATCTGGCTGAGACGTATAATCGGCTCTTGATGGCTGTCATCTCGGCGGTGCGCTATATCACACTCCCCGCCTACAAACACCATAGCTCACAATTAAGTCAGCTTGCACTGCTGCAAAGCATTGCCGGCATTGCTACAGGTATCCAAGCGGCTATCATTGGTACATTCATGGGTCTTGAAGCTAGGGCGCACTCGGTTACGATTGTAAGTCTCTGTTCCTGGTCACAATATAAGACACTGACTCTTTAGCCATGGCTAGATATGGCTGGGCGGCAGCGCGGCATGCGACGTCGTGATCGCAGTAACAATGGCGTACCTGGTTCGTATTTTCTATCTTTTGTTATGAAGTAATTTTGGCACTGATTGTGCCTCTAGCTTACGCACAAGGACACCCACTACCCGGAGACCCGCGCAATTATCACTCGGGTCGTCCACCTCATAGTCAAAACTGGTGTCCTCACTGGTGAGCCTTTCATCTAGCATGTCCGTACACGTCTCATTCGGGCCAACCCGCCTTCTGTAGCCCTGTCCGCTATTCTCGTCCTCGTCCTTTACGTCGCGCTGCCCTCGCGCGCCTATTACGCGTGCATCGGCGCGATCCTCGCGAAGCTATACAGCAACTCGCTCCTCGTGCTTTTCAATACTCGGATGCACATCCGCGGCGGGCGTAACGGGCCCTCGCATGTCCATACTGGACCACCGGTCCGTGCTAGTATACGCTCCGCGAGCCACGCCGCGGCCGCGGTGAGCTTGGGCGCGCCCGGCGGCGCGACGACCATGTCGAGCTTCGGTGGTGTGCATGTCCACGAGCAGGTGTGGGTGCACACGGATGGGATGGAGATGAAGGAGCGAGTGAGTACTCAGCTGTTTGTCACCCTTCGATCGATGCTTACGCCGCTCTTGCATGGTGCAGTCCTCGAGTCCGGTGGAGAAAGCTGTCGTTTTCGGCCTCGCTAGCTAGGTTGAATGGCGACATTGTCACCTTGTATACATAGTGTTTTTGTGGGATCTATTGACTATGAGAGTATCAACCTGGCGTCTCATAACGATGCTGACTGGAAAGCTCTGGCGCTGACCAGGGGCGATGAGCAGCTGTCACAAGATCCGCGTCTGCGAGCGGGTTCCGTGATACCCGCATGCGGGAATGGAAGCGATAGCCGAGTTAGCCCGAGTCCCCGAGAACTGACATAACTAACAGAATGCTCCCAAAACGGCGGTCTCGAACATGCCACTCGGCATCAGGTAGCAGCAGGTAGCATTGCCCGGCGGCATCTCATGTTGCTCAAACGGGCCAACAAGCTTCTCAAGGAAGTACTTGTCGTGTTCCTTGGTGATCAGGCCTCCACCCTGCACGCCTGCATGCCAAGGCACCTCCTCGCCCATCTAAATGTCGCTCAGGTACCGCGCCACCCCATCCTTGCCGCACCAATCAAAGTTAACGAATACCCCCCGTCGACACGCAGCAGCACATTCGGCTTGCGGACGTCTTCGAATGCGAGGCCGTGCTCATGAAGAATAATCCTCGCGAAGGTCTATAGTAATTCATCCCTCATGCTCTTCAACACGCGCGTGCACATCCGCCGTGGGTGCGATTGGCCCTCGCGTGCCTGTACTGACCCCGCAAGCCGCGCGGCGGCCGCAATGGGTGATCAGTGCGCCCGGCGGTGTACACGTCCACGAGCAGATATGGGAGCCCACCGGGCGAGGTAGAGACAAGGGGCGAGTGAACGCTCGGCTGTCCGTTACCTTTTGACTGGGGCTCGTGCCGCTGCAGTGAAGTCAATAGATGCTGGCTCCGGCGGAGAAGGCTGTCGTTCTCGAATCTCGAAGGTAGCTGGGTTTAACATTCACCGGCAACGATGATGTCATGCCTGCCCGCAACCTTACCTCGTATCTATAGCACATTTGTAAACATCGTAAGTATCACGATACGGAGAAAAAATGCACAGTAACCCAAAGGTTTTGTGCTGCACCGGATGAAAGCGTAGTTCCAGGACCAGTGCGCAAAAGTGGCATTGGCACGATCTAGTCATTCTTCGGGACGAATTCCCAGAACTGCACATGAACGATGTGAGTGGGATAGCAAGGAGGAGCAAGAGTCCGCTTACGTGTTTATAAGGTCCGTCAGGTGCGAGTTCACTCTTGAGGAAGTCGGGGACGATCGGGAAGTCTGTCCACTTTGGCTTGCAGAGGACGACGAAGGTAAGGAATTGGGCCGTGCATCAACGAAGTCGTCGCGTACGAACCTCTAAGAGGCTCTAAGAGGGCAGGGGGGAAGGCGGGAGGAGGCTCCAGAAAGCGGCCAAGCACCGCTACTCCGAAAATCGCGGACACTAGACTCGATTCGGACACTGCTAGGGTGGCCGCGGTCTAGTTTGGTCAGGTCACACTGCACTCTTGCACTTGAGTCAGCGATACATACTCCCGTATATCCTTCGATCACGACATCCCCTCGCGATGAGCAACGACCAAGAGGGCTTTTCGGATATCCCTTCTCCGTAATATTGGTGTGGATTATTTGGCGAATTTGATCACAGCCTGCGCAATCTTCACCTGCATGACTTGATAGGTCGGATGGGGAGCGAGTGCACGACTCAAGCCGGCACACCGAGACTGGCGCGAACGTCCAGCCATTATTAGCTCAGTCAGATGCGTGCCCGCTCTGGAAGTCCCGGTATTAGTGTTAGCAAAGCGCGCCTTTTGACGCATGTGCAAACACGGTCGGTCCTGGTGGGCTGGACAGATCTAGCTGAACTGTGGTATTGTGATTGGGTCTACTGCGCAAAAGTCCTGGCGTCGATAGGTTACGACGAAGTACAAAACAATCTTTCTTAAATATCTGTGTTCATGCGAATATTACAGCGGTTGTGGGTGTCCCGATAAGAAGGTAAAGGCTATCAACGAGTCAGGCTAAAGATCACCGACGAGTCAGTCGCTCTTCGGAACGAATTCCCAGAACTATACAAGCACGATACAGTGAGCAGGATGGTGAAGAGGCACAGAGAACCACATACGCGTCTATAGGGGATCCAGAGCAAGTAAGGCACAAGGTAGTCCTTCAAGAAACTGGGTGCGGGTGGGAAGTTTGACCACTTTGGCCTGCAGAAAACGACGTAGGAAAAAAAAAGGGGAATAGACTGCGAGTACAGGCAGATGGTGAACCAGGCTCAGCAAGAGGCGAGCGATGGGGAAAACAGGCGTCGACTTACGAATTGACTCCCATAGGCTTGGGTGACCTCGGCTATGTGTACCATTTCTTCCTTGCTCATGCCTGCTGCTTTCAGCTTCTCGGGCTCCAGAATGGTAATCTCATGAGCCAGCTACATATTCGCCCAAACCGTCAGTGGACAAATCGAGGCGCGCCGTCGAAAAGTGCTCACATGAGTGGACAATGGCTTCACAAAGCTGTCAATCAACTGCTGCAACCTTACGCCATCAAAATCGAGCGGCGCTTGCGTCGCAGACGTCCTCTTGTCCTGCCCGTATGGGTGATTTGGCGGCAGGCAAGCAAAGAGGTAGCTCTCAAACTCTGACTGTCCTTTCTGGAACGCGTCGTGCTCTTCTTGGACGAAACTGGTGTCAACCTTCGGCTCGTACATAGCAAAGTACGTGTTTTCTTCATGTCTTCAAGATTGGTAAGTTTCGTTCACGGCGCGGAAGAGCTACACAGGGACTCACTCGTGATGCGCGTGAAAATTGGCGCACCACACCAAGCAGAATCCGATGAAGTTCGTGTGTTTATGCTTCGGAACGTCGGGGGCTTGCTACAACACCAAGGCAGCATGCATGTGAGTAAGCTCGAACGGCAATGTCAAAGGAGAGACGTACTTCGTATATCGCGAGGAGTGCGTTCAGAATCATAGCATGTGCATTGGACATTTCCCAGTATTGCATGGTCCATGGATCGGTGGGAACAGGCCCACTCCCTGATGGCCTGAAGCCCTCGACCGCCGCACGAAGCTGGGCTGGAGTGTCGGACATATCGTCGATACGGGGATTAATGAGTTTGGATGGGAAGAGATGCAGCGTCGGTGGTAAGTTGATCAAACGCTATACCATTTTATTTTTCAGCGAGGCAGGAGACCCCACCGATCATACATGTTTTGCGTCTTGATGCATCAGTACCGCGGCGGGCGGAGGCGCCGCACGCTAATCCCGCAGAGGCGCCTGAACGCGCCTGGGCATGCCCAGAGCTCAGCTTCCCTGCAGCTACGACTTTGTCCCTGCCGTAAATGTGCGAACTCAGCGCCGCGTTTCATTCTGCGAAGCGGACGTCTGAAAGCCTCGGCCTCGATGGTGAGTCAATGACTTCAGTGATGAGTCGATCTGGTCGGTATGCCGACGCGGTGCAACTGTGCAAAGTTTTATTGAAATACACGAGTCATTTGTACGTTGCTACCCGGCCATCCAGATAGCTTAGATCGCTGCTTAGTCCAACGTACTTGCATCAGATTCATGACCAAGAGCCTTTTATGAGGTCTGCGGCACGCTCAGCGACAACATACACAGCAGCGACCGGATGTTCAGCAGGTATGACAGGCTTCAATAGTACCACTGATCAGCTGCGACGTACATTCGAGGCAATTAACGCTTACCATCACGGACGCATCTACCACCCTCAAACCGCTGACGCCCTTCGCGCGTAGCTGCAGGTCAACGACTCCCCACGAGGCATTTGCGGGCAACATGCGAGCCGTACACGCTGCATGATATATCGTGACAACCGCCTGGCGGATGGCAGCCAAGATCTCTTCATCAGACTCTGCACTGCCCATGGAGCCGAAACGTTCAATAATAAAGCCTTCCCAGAACCTGGCCTCTACGAAGCGCCGCGCAGCCTTGGTCGCCGCGAGCAGGGCAAAGTTGTCGAACTCGGTGGTCAAGAAACCCGGGTTAATCAGCGGGGACGCGAAGGGGTCCGACGATGCCAGCCGCACAGACCCCACTATCGAGAACGACTAGTTAGACCGCAGATTTTGCGCAACAACACGTTCTGACCTGAAGTTGGTGAGACGAGTACGGTATTGATGCTGAGATAGTTGCCAGTTGGGGGCAGCGGATCTACAGTCGGACTGAAGCCATCCTGGAAGAGCAGTATTAAGACTACGAGAAGATAATGATACTAGTCCAAGAAGCGTACATCAAAAATCAGCTCGAAATGTGCAATGTTCGGATCTACACACCTTATGATTCAGCGATCCAGAGTCGCAGTCACGAAAACATGACACAGCTGACCTAGCTCAGGATCGCTAACATTATTCCAAATAGGGTCGTCGTTGGGGATCCTGAAGAACCCGGTTGTATTTGCGGTAGAGGCCGCGAACTGACCACTATGATTTTTCTTCCAGAGGGTGTGATCAGCATTGAAGATGTCGGGGTTGCGGCTAATCGTGTCGGACGTCATGTTAGATGCGACGGTCCAGTAATTCTCTACCCTCGGCTGATCACGGAGATGTTGTCCAACATCGGGCAGATCCACCACCGGCTTGATGCCGGCAGCAGTTAGGACCTCTCTATCACCGACACCGGAGAGCATCAAAATCTGTGGGGTCCCGATGTAACCTCTTTCCTGGCAGAAACAATAGACCGCTTGGCTGGTTGTAATGTCAACACCAGTCCAGCACTTAACGGCAGGCCCGCACCTGAAGCATCTGGCGCAAACTCTGCTGCCTTGAAGGACGGTTTGCCATAAGAACTCCCGGATGAAATGAGGCGAGTTACGGTATTGTTGATCAGGACGTGAAGATTCTTTCTACTAAGTACGGGATCGAGATACGCAGTCGCAGCGCTGCTACGCTGCCCACGGCCGACAGTGGCCTGGAGATATGCTATAATTCATTCAAAAGTGCGGTAACGCGGACAAAAACTATGGCACTCACAAACACCGAGATAATCCCCAAAGTTGAGATCGGCGTTGAATGGAAACTCGCTACCAGGGATCTTGCTTGTGTTGACGACACGGCCGTCGATCTCAGTCGGAAACCCGGAGACACTGACTTCGACCGGACCAAAACCGTGCGCCGAGGGCTCAACTTGACCAGTAGTGTTGTGGTGATCTGCAGGCGGGACTAGGCGCGAACTCTGGGATAACGATGAACACAGATATATGAATGTGAAAAGCGGTTGTGGGCACACCTTCAGATAGTACTTAGAGAGATTATCCCATGACCAGCCTTGGTCACCCGTAATTTCTGCCCATTTGTCGTATTCCTGGCCCGCCCCTCGCGTATACACAAGATAATCTGTTTGCACGTCTCAACAGGGCAGAAGAGTGGAGATTTTGCGTATCTGACTTACTAACGGAGCTGCTGCCTCCGAGTATGCGTCCTCTTGCATATGAGACTGTGCGGTTATCGAGCCCTGGCTGTGGTGCTGTCACGAAGTTCCATAGGAAGGATGCATTTCCGAGGTTCTGAGACGCGAGAAACGGGATTTGAATCCCAAGAATGCCATTATTTCTATGCCGATGATTAGCATGAGAGCGATTGCGCAGAACGGTACCCACGATATACCGGCCTCGACGACCAGGACAGAAACATCAGGGTTCTCCATAAGCCGGGAAGCGACGACACAGCCTGCAGTTCCTCCTGTCAAACGAATTAAGCTGCTTACACATGTATATGACACGTCGAGGCGCGGAGTCACGTACCTCCTACGATGACGAAGTCGAATATTGTAGCTGGCAGATGATCTGAATCTGTGTATAGAGCAGCATACACAGCATGACAAAAAGCCAATAATGTGAAGAGCTCTGCATTTCTTGTGAGCCGCATCGCGTCCGACGTTACGGATGGTACAGAGTCAGCGGTTCATACTTATACCTCAGCTGGCGTTCATAGGACACTCACGATATAAGCTCGATGCCGACCAGTGCATATTGGAAGTGTACGTATAATCTTATCATCGTCTGTTGCGTAACCCTGGAATGCCACTTGAGGCCATGTGATAGCACATAATCATTGCTACGGTGAGACTCTGCATCTATACATAGTCTTCGACGATCTGAGTCCTTGTGGTTCGTCCCAGTCACCGGATAAGCAGGTGATACTAGTAGTACGTCAGGCCAAACTGTTATGGATGATTTTACGTCCTTGAAGACATGTGTTGCTGTTAGTATCAGCTTTGACTGTGCGGAATGGAATATTTGTGGATAGTGGATGAAAGTCAACAAGAGAAAACTTGACTTGACGCCAACAGGCGTGCTCAATTCTACATGGATGGGATGGAATGGGATGGGATGGTTTCGAGCCAGCACACGGTGGCTGTGGCTTTCCCGTTGATGGCGTAGATTAGCCGTGAGACATGAATCAGAAATAGATCTGTTCCTAACCCGCCATCCCGCCCTCGAGTCCCGCCTGCTTCCAAAACAAGTAAGTCTATTTGTACGAAACAAATAGGGACCGTTCACAATGACTGTGAGGTAGAGGGGATAGTTCGCGCAACGCACTGTCCAGTATGCAATGGAGAGAGAGGAATCGGGACAATATCACAGAGTGGTGCCTGGAAGAGGTTCCATAATGCCGACATATGCCTATAGACCATGACAGGCTGCGGGCACCGCGACAAGCACATCGCGCGAAGGGCTCGTGACGACAGCAGTGATTTCAAGAACCTCGAGTGTTGACCCCAATAACATTCAAGCCTTCATATGAAATCATGTAACTCTTCAGCTCACTTGCTAATAAGTATCATGGCCTTACAACCACATGCTGAATACATCAATTAGTTCGGGAAGATATTTGCTTGGCTCAACAGAAATTTTTGGCACAGGTCCCAGTATATGGCCCGTATCCTAGCACACTCTACGCTGGAGACAGGGCCGGGCGCTGTACCAGGGAGTTGGCCACCAGGTGCTTGACCAGCAGGTCAGCGTGCATCTGCTTTCGCAAGTGCAGTGCAGACACTCCTGACGCGACTCACTAATTTTGCATAGCTCCCATGGCATAACTTGACTCTGAGCATATTACTTGGAT